CCTCGGACTTTCTCGTTTGTGGTTTTTTATCCTTTTATGTAGTTTAAAGACGTCGTTTTAAGAAAAATGAAGGAAACGATTGGGTTTTTATTTATTTATTTATTTATTATTTTATTATTATCACTTTTTTTTTTTTTTTAAGAAAAGAAGCTCGCCGGAGTCATCGGGGATTTGTTTTGTTCGGAGGTTTGAGTGGAGAGAGGTCGGGAAATGTCGCGAAAAAATCGGCCGTCCTTTATCTTTGCGGAAATAACTGAAAAAAATAATAATTTTTACTTCATTTTTCTTTTTTGGAAGTTTTTTAAGGTTTTTTTTCTTTTTTAATTTTAATTATTATACTTGTAATTATTGACTAATAAATATAAAATGTGATATTTTAAACAAGCTCTTAATTTATACAAATTTTTGACAAAAATAAAAAAAATTCTATATGGACGGTTTAAAATATTAAATGTAGATGATTTTAAAAATCATCATGCGATATTTAATAAATGTATTTTATTTTATTTAATATATCTTTTAATTTAGAAATAATTTTAAAAATTAAATTAGTTTTTTTTATATTTTTATTATTAATCTTAAATTACTATCATTTCAATTCATATTAAAAGTATTAAAATTTTAAAAATTTCTTAATTTGATAAATTAAATCAATCAATATATAATTAATAGATTAATAAATATTATAATTATAATTATAAAATAATTGATTCTCTAATCAATTATTTTATACATTTATATTTGATTAAATATAGTATTCAATAATTGATGTATTTCATATGTAAATATATAAAACAAATATAATTCACAAAACTAAATTGATTATATTTATTTTTTAATTATTGATTTTAAATCACTTTCAATTCAATTCATATTAAAAGTATTAAAGTTTTAAAATTTTCTTATTTTGACAAATTAAATCAATCAATCAATAATTAATAAATTAATAGATATTACAATTATAATTATAAAATATTGATTTTCTAATTAATTATTTGATACATTTATATTTGATTAAATATAGTATCCATTTGAGTAATTAATATATTTCATAATTTATTTCATGTGTAAATATAGAAAGCAAATATATCAAATTAATTCTTCATAATTAAATTAATAGAATAAAATATTTTATTAATTTATATTTGATTGATACATTTATATTTCATTAAATATGATTTCATGAATTTTATTTGATAAAATATTAATACATGTTGATTTCATTTGTTTTTATTATAACGTTTTATAATTTTATTATTTGATATTAATGCACATTGATTTAATTTGTTTTATTGCTATTATTAAATACAATAAATTTATTTTATTTTATTATTCTAAACAGAGAGATCTCTAAATATTAATGACAGAATAAAATATTTCAATATTAATCAACTTGTCATTACTATATATTATTCACTCACAATTTTTATTGTTTTAATAGTAATTTTTATAATTTAAAATTATCTTATTAATTGACTATATTTATGTTTTTACTATTAACATTAGTTAACTTTTAATTCAATTCATATTATAAGTATTAAAATTTTAAATTTTTTTTAATTTGAAAAATTAAATCAATCAATATATAATTAATAATTTAATAAATACTAAAATTATAATTATAAAATAATTTATTCTCAAATCAATTATTTGATACATTTATATTTGATTAAATATCCATTTGAGTAATTAATGTATTTCATGTGTAAATTTAGAAAGCAAATATATCAAATTAATTCTTCATAATTAAATTAAAGGAATAAAATATTTTATCAATTTATATTTGATTGATAGATTTATATTTAATTAAATATGATTTCATTTGGTATAATATTAATGCACATTTGATTTTATTCGATAAAATATTAATGCACATGGATTTCATTTGATTTCATTTATAACATTTTAAAATTTTAAAATCTATATATTAATGTGCGTTGATTTAATTAAAATTTAATTTGTTTTATTATCATTATTAAATATAATAAATTTATTTTATTTTATTGTTCTAAATTAAAGGATGGCAGAATAAAAATATTTCAACATCAATCAACTTATAATTGTTAGACCATTATTTACTAACAAATTTTATTATTTCAATATTAACTTTTATAATTTAAAATTATCTTATTAATTAATCTACACCATATTTTTTATATAAATAGCTTTAGGTTAAGTATAATACGTTTTTAACTATTTTTCACTAATTTTATACCTTTTGATCACTACTCAACTTTTTTTCAAATTTCTCTTTAATTTTCATTTTGCATCATTTATTGGTCTTTGCTACTCAAAGATTATTTTCTTTTTATACTTATATTTTATATTTATTTAACTATGATATTAGCTTTTTTTTTTTTTTGTTGATGATTGATTTAAAGATGATTTATTATATACAGAAAAAATATTTCACCAGTAGAGTTATTATCATGAAAATTGATACCACTTTTAGTTAGCACTATATGTCATGTGGGTGTAACAAGAAATTATTTGAAATTGATGAAAAATTCAATGTTATTCTTGTAATGTTAATGTCCCTAATCCAACACCAAGATAATTAGTATTTTATATTTTTTATATTTGATACATAAAAAATTATTATTCTATGATAATAATAAAAGTATTTTAAATTATTATATTATATTTATAATTGTAGAGTTTTACATTTTTTATAAGCACAAGTTGAATATTGAGGTATATGATAACTTTTGAATAATGATATTTGTACTATTTAATACAAAAGCTAAGAATTTAATTAATAGAGATATGACGATATTTATAAAATATATGTTAAGATATTGATTTAAAAGTTATTTTAATATTATTTAATATTTAAATTAATTTAATGATATATTTATACTTATGATTTAGAAAAACATATATTATAAATTCTAAAAGATATTTGAAGATCTCAAAAGTAAAATTTGTGTGTTTGAGATAAGCACAATCAAGTATAATCTTAAAACAAGTAATACCAAACTTAAAGTAAACAAAGTATATGATTTTGATCATAAGCTTAAATGTAGAAAATTATTGGAGGAGATATGTATAAGTTTATTACAATAATTATGTTTGCTATAAAATTATATAGTCTAAATTATAATTGAACTGTTATTAAACTATAAATTATTATTTTATTTATCTCTTTACTTTATCTGTGAAATTTATTAGCTCATCGAGTAAAATGACACTTACTTTGAAGATAACAAGAAATACTAAATAATCAATTATTGCATTTTCGCTTCAATAATAATTTATGAAAAACTTTCTCACAAAAAAAGTTTACATGCAAGATTGATTTTAAAAATAAAATTTTTAATCTCTTGAAATCGAAAACATTATTGTTTTTTGTTTAGAGATTATTTGGTTTCAATAAATTATAATTTGAGTTTTTTTTAGAATCGATGATAATTGTATAAATATATTCAATATGTAATTAATTAATTTTATTATATTAAAATATATAAATTTTAATAAAAATGATTAATAAGTTATGAGTTATTCATAAATTTCATAGTTTATATTATCATTTAAAAAAATTTATATTTATATAAGATTTATTGATATATGAATATATTTTTGTACATAAGAGGAGTTTAAAACTAGTTATACTAATTTATAAAAATGATTGACTATACTTATAAATACTACTTAAAAAAATTTACATTTAAAATATTAAAAAATAAATTCATTAATTATCTTTAAATAACAGTATAGTATCTTTATATAATATGTAACAATCTTCCGATATCAATAATGAAATTTAAAATTTTCAATAATAATATATTAACTATTATGTTTTAGTTATCACTACAACTTAATCAATGATTTTGTTAAATTTAATAATAATAATAATTAATAATTATTATTATTATTATTCACTTTCTTTGTTTTATATTTTTGTCTTCTCCTATTCTTTTTTTAATCTTTTTATTTTTTCTAGATGCTAGAATTTTTTTATAAAAAGATCATAGTCTAATGATAAAAAAATGATAAATATTATTATTTAAATTCGATCGATATATACTACTTTTTAAAAATATTTATATAAATCAATTAAATTAATCTTCAAATTCACGATCCAATAAATTTAAATATCACTAAAAAAGTTTCTAAATGCCATGTATGGAGTGCAGCCCAACTCATCCTTCCAGAAAGCATTAATAAATTCAGAAAAGAGGCTTGAATAATAAACATAGATCGAATATTCACTAGAAATTTTGGGACTTTTTTTTTTATTATTTTTTGAAATAAGAAATTTTGAGACCTTAATTGAGGTCTTTAAGGAAAAAAAAAAAAAAACCCCTAAAACTTAGTACATTGTTATAGAATATAGATGTACTAATTCAAAAAATATTCAAAACTTAGTACATTGTTATAGAATATAGATGTATTGTCAGCTCAAAAAGTTAGATCTAAATTTTTATTCTTAAAACGAGTTTTAAAATAATCTAATGATCAAAGTAGTATTTAAAATAATCACTTGATAATTAGTCTTAATTTTGTCAAATTATTACTAATCTAAATCAAAATGTTCAAAGTTTTTTAAAACTTTTATTGTTGCACTTTTATGCCCCTAATTGAGCTTCAATTTTACCATCCATTGTAAAATTCCCAGCGGATTTAACCAGTAATTCTTCCAATTTTATTCCACCTTTTCACTAACTTACTATGTTGTTCCAATGATTACTCGTCTTTTTATTTATCATGTTAATTTATTAATTATTTTAAATATACATTAATAAAATATGTATCAATCTTCTAATTCTGCTCTAACGTCCATATATAAGATAATTTTTCATAATCTTTTACTACCAAGTTTTTCCTACTCATGTGAACAGATACTGTGATCAAAATTGTTCATCCAGTTTTGACAAAGAGAATTGTTCAACATCATCCTCTAAAACCAGACCTGTTATTCAGAAAATTTTTATGTATTGAGAAAACAATTTTGAAGTAAGCTATATTGAAATCTATTGGCATAAGGTTCAAGCACAGGCCACGCTGAACTAAACTACTCCATATTCTGGGAATATCCAGAGTGAAAATGAGGCCATAAAGCAGCAATCCTGAAAAAATTTGTTTCCCGACACAAATTGTGATATGGTTATTTTAGTGTTTTACACGAAAATTAGGTTCCAAACTCTAATCTGTAGCTCTCAGGTCAAATTACACGACAACAAAAATGATATTATACATGCAAAGGCGAATTCAGAACATAAAAATGTGGAAAATTCATTGGATGAGACATATTTGGACATAAAATCAGAGATTTAATTGCTTGATAGCAAAGTCTAATTAATGTGAAAAGAACAATGTGAACAAAATGGATGGACAATCATCTAATACACAAATAAGGTGTAGACCAGCAAAAAAAAAACATGACCCATATAATAAATGTGCATGATGCCAACCGCCTTCATCGATCAGATAGTCCCCGACTTCATTTTCTATACCAGTTCCAGAACTCTTCATCTGCACAAAAAATGCAGACGCCTAACTTAGTTTAAAGCCAAGGTATATGTTAGTAGTGAAGAAGCAATCCATTAACTAAAACCACCTGAAAATGATGTCATCCAAACTTCAAGCTGTGGATTATAATATCACACAAACACATTTGTTCTGCTTTGGTTGGCTTGTTGCTTTCTTTTCTGCTCATTAATGAAAGATACAAATGTTACTTTAAGTAAAAAAAAAACATAAAAGCATCACGAAAAATAAACATTTTTAAGTTGGGAAAGAGACAACAGAAGTTGGCAGCTGGAAATGTATAATTGGCTTCAATCTGATGCTTTACTATTAACAAGAAGTAGCCAACAATCAAAATTAATGATTACCAATTTTAACTTCTATAAAGACAGAGTAATGCAAATATCATCTAATGTTTTCCATTGATCTAACAAGCAGAACCTCAACCAGCACGTTCAAAAATTTTCCAACCAGAAGGGTTTTCCTTGTATTTTTTTGTTAGAAAAGATAAATTCAAAATTGCTATAGCAAACAGGCAAAAGGATTATTATTGCTCTTTATGACAATTTTCAGATTATCATTTTTGGAATCCAACAGGTAATAATTGTACCTTTCTCCAAAGAAGGAGGTTGAACAACAACATGCATTGTCGTCACTCCACCAGGAATATCACAAAGAGGGCTCTGACACTCTCCCAGTGTTTTGTTGTTCTCTAAAATTTTTCCTGCACTAATTAACTTGACGTCTTTCACTGTCCTTGGACCATTCTCCTTCTCTGCCATAATTAAAAGTGTATAATTACACATTCGCAACAATTTGTAATCAGAAGAATTCTAATACGACTGAAACAAAATAAAAAAAGCAAAGAGGTCTTGCATATACAGGAACCACAAAAGAACATAAAGAGAAATCCAATACCTTTCAATGGTAGTCAAAACTAAAACAAGCAATCCATTCCCTATATGTATGACATGTGTAATGCAACCATTTCTTTGCCTCTTTTTTTTTTCATGAAAAAACAGTCCACTGCATCGCCAGTTTTCCTCGTGTGAAATGCAGGGTAAAGGAAGAGGTAGATGGCAGAACATAGCTCAAATTAAGCTTTTAGTTTAACTGAGCAACTTTAATTTACAATTAAAACTAACTGAAACACTCCCCATACGCTGACAAACATAAAAAAAATGCAAAGAACCTAAGAGCTAGTAATCAAGAGAGAGAGAGAGACAGACCAAGGGATGGAGAGTAAAGCAGGATCAACAAACTGACAACAGCAATATGCCACCATAAATTTTAAAACTTCAGTTTAGACCATCTCAGTTCAAAATTCAATCATAAACCATTAGTCAAAAATGCCTCAGATGTCCTCAAACACAGTTTGAACGCCCGGCATCCACCACAGGCACACATTTCCAATAGCAACGCCTATGATGCAATGAAACAAACCAAAAACCTTTATAATATGTAGGTTTAAATAATAAGAAAGAGCAATATTCTTTGACACTCTTTTGAATGATACAAATTTGTATAAAAATCCAATTGACAGCAGCTCATATTACACTGGGAAAAGACCCAAACCATTCTTTATTCATATTTCACAGCATGTTATTTCTAATCAATTTTCTGATCAAAGAATATATTCCAGTTACTCAGCTCTGAAGGATGAATTATCGTCCTAATTCTGAAGGTAATAAGCATAATATAATGATATTATTTTCTTGCATAGTTTCACTCATCTGAATATTCAACCAGCAATATGAATAAATTGCATATACTTTGAAAAACAATATCATGATAACATCCTAGTTCAAACCATATGGAACAATGAACAGTAACCACAAAGCAATTAGATGAAGAGCAGATATATAAATACAATAAGGCTGAAAGTTTGCCTACACAAACCTTGAGGCCACTGAGCAAGAACACTTTCCTTCAAGGTTGCAACACTAGTAGCAGCAGGAAAGGTTTTAGGACCAATATCTGATCCGTCAGTCAATCGAAACTTGATCTCCAACTGATCTTGGACAGCAGCCATCTCCAGAAGCCTTAAAAACTTGAAAACCTGAACTCCCCCAAGATATTTTCTTGGGCCTCCTTACTGTATACAAAAATCTCAATCTGGATTGCTGTAAAGATACCAAGACTCCTCTCAAGTACGTAGTTTGTTATATTTATATGAATCAAAACTCCAAAGAGATTGTCAACCGCAAAATTCCACAGAACTGAAATTTAAAAAAAAAAAAAGCAAAATTGAATTACTGAACTCATAGATATATTAGAGAAAGTCAGACAGATATGAAGACAATCTAGATTAGGAAACAAAGTGTGTAAAGATAACAACTTTAAGAGTACGGATTTGAATAACTGTTTCAAGGTAACCCATATTGGGTAAATCCAAAAATAGAATATAATCCAAACCTAAAAATTAAAAAGGAAAACAAAAACAAAAATCAGTGAGACACAAAAAAGAAAACAGATGAAGACATAAGCACACAGTAAAATCATCAAATATGTAAACGTTCACCAACAAAAAGGAAGAGAAAATCTCCAAATTATAGTCTTTAAGATCACAAAATCAGCTAAAATCCAAAACTAGGTTTGTTGGTCACTCCAAAACCAAACAAACAATTAAAAGAAGTGAAAAGGCTTGATGGGTTATCTTACTTGAGTCTAAAACTGATCTGGGTTGGTTTCTTGTGGCCGAAAGATGCAACCTTTGAAGAAAAAGAAGTACAATAAGAGAAAAGAGGAACTGTTGGGGCTGCTTATATCAAACAAGAGAAGAAGATATCAAATAAGAAATCTCTACAGACGAGGCTGTTTCGGATTTTTCAAAGTCTTCTAAATCTGTGGTCAATGCTTCCATCTTGCCTTCTCCTTCCAATCTCCTATGGCTATGGAAATGGACAGATTTCTGTGTTTCTCTCTCCTTTATAAATTAAAAAAATAAAATAAAAAAGTGACTCTTTTTTTCTTTTTTTTTTTCCTTTTATATAATAGTGTGATTATAAAAATATCTTCACATAATAATTTTTTCATTTTAATTTTTTATTTAAAATAGTAAGATGTTTTTGTTAATTTAATATAATAAAATATATCATTTGATGCATGGCTTTTTTTATTAATTTTTAAATTATTTATTAACAAATTAGTATTTGATATAAAAATAATTTTTTTATTATTTATTAATTTTATAAATATTAAATAATTTAAAATTTTATAATTACTTACAATTTAATCTAATGTTCGATGTGATTTTCTCTTTCATTATAATTTATTTTATTTTACTATTGTGTTTATATTTAAATACAAATATTTATCATTGATTTTAATTTTATCATTATTATAAATAATTTCATTTTCGTCATTATTTTTAATTTTATCAAAATTAATTTTATTACTCATCAAAATAGATCCTTAGATAAATATCTATATTTTTATTACACAAAAAAAAATTTTAATCTTTAATTTATATCTAAATAAGTCATTAATATTAAATTTACATAAAAAGAAACCCTAAACCTTTAATTTATTCCTAAAATTTTTTTGATATATTAATAGTAAAACTTTTTAATTTTACAAACAATAGATATAAAATTTTTTTTATTAAATTTCTTTAAACATAATTTTTTATTTTTAATATATTCTAAAAGATATGTATTATCATGTTAACTTTATTTGTAAAATCTAAAAACTATAAGTAATATTGAATTAAATGATAGCATAAATATGGCTAAAAAATAAAAAAAATTATTAAACTTTATAATTTTATTTGGATAAGTTCTTATATTATTATTGTATTTAAATAAAATTTTAATTTAATTTGCATATAAATAAATACTTAATTTTTAATTTATATTCAAATAAATCTTTAAATTTTTAATTTATACTTAAATAAATCCTTAACTTAAATTTTTTATTTAAAATAAGAGTTTATTTATATATAAATCAAAATAAATACAATAAAATTATAATGACTTAGTTAAAAAAATAAAATAATTTAAAATTTTTTAAATATTTTAACCGATAAATATAAACATTATTTTGAGTTGTAGAAGGAGTTTGTTTGGTCCAATGTAATTTAGATGACTTTTCTACTTACATGTGAGATATATGAGCAGATGAAAATAAATTAAGGAGGCGCATAATATTAAAAAAACTTTCTTTAAAACTGCTAAAATGATTTAACATGTGACCTAAAATGTTGGAGGAATGTAATTAGACATTTATGGTCATCATTCACGGGCACCAAAAAAACCAAATCTATGATGACAAATGATGGTTCAATCCGCTGTATATTTTGGAATTTGTCAAACCCAAGGTTTTTTTTTTTTTTTTTCATTTACCAACCAATAAAGTCCAAACATCAAAATCATTCATCTCTTTAATTAACTTGAGACTAAACAACAATAAATCCAAAATCTCCTTTATGTTCTATAATAAGTGTCCCAAAAATTTAATAAAATTTTGTTATTTATAATAAATAGTATTAAATTACTCTTTCGCAAAATTTAATTTTGTTTTTGAAAATATGGTAAAAGTTTTCTCAGATTTATTTAGATAAATTCTTCTCTGATCAATTTTAATGATATATTCTCTTATATAGATTTAATACTTTTAAGATTTTATTTTCAAAATATTTCAACAAAATCAAATCTTGACAGATAAAAAAATGTTTTTTCTCTTACCAAAAACCAATTATCTTTGTGAATAAAGCGAAAATTTTTTTAATACAAAGAGAACACAATTTAAAAATAAAAAATAATTTAAAATTTTAAATCTATTAAAATGATTATAATATATGCTTTAGTTTGGCAGTTGACATGTCCAAGACCTTCTCAGATGCTTCCAAACAAGGCTGAAAAAGTCTTATTCATTTGGTTAAATTATTGGAAAGATAAAAGCAAGAAAAAGGAAAAAAATGGAGAGGAGAATCCTGTTTGGTAGGAGGGAAAGTGGGGGGAAATTAAGATGATTAGGAATGTGTTAAGCAAAAGGAACCTTTCACCTTCAACTATCATAATTACCAAATTCCATTTGTTTATTCTAACTTGGTTTTTCTTTGTAATCATCAACTTAACAAATTCCACAAATAAAGAATCTTTTCATTTTTCATTGGGCATATTTGTTAAATGAGAATTTCTCGCTTATTACAATCATTATATACATTAAAACAATTCTGTTTGCACATCTATAACATGCAATTAAACAAATCTCTAAAGATTCCCCAATGAACACCTGTCTTCTTATTATCTAAAAAAGATCATTTCAAATCTTAGTCAATTATAATTTATATGTGAAAAATATCATATTAAGTATTAATGATTGACATTTGTCCTGTTTTATGAGTGAGATTAGTAATTGGTTGTATTATTTTTGTTGGTTTATTTATGGGCTAAGCTAATAATGAATTGTATTATTTTGTTGGGTTTGAAGAGAGGTAAATGAATTAAAATTAAAATTTAAAATTTATATAAAGAATGATATAAAGAAGACATTAAAAATGATATAATTTAAAATTTTAATAAAAAATTATATATGAATTTGATAAAAATAAAAAAAATTATATTTCGTATTTAACGTGTTGATTAAAATTATAATGTGATAATTTTTATATTTTTATATAATAAATACAATATAGATACATAAATTATTAAATCTAAATTAAATCACTAAACACACACTATAAATCACAATTCGATATATGTGGCAAAGCACTTGGGGAGTAAAATTTAAAAAACAACAGACCTTCATTTAAAAAAAAAAAACATCAAACTAATGCAAAAAAAAATTAATACCAAGAGAATTATCCTCAAACAAAACTTTGATAAAAAAAATTTTAAACTATATATTGATTAGAACTTTGCTTTCCTGCACTGATAAAGAGATGCCCTGCATGCAAAATATGGGCTGCACAAAGCCTTGCGCTTAGGAAGAATGAGTAGCTCATATGAAATTAGTAATGGAAATAATATATTAATGTTTACAAGTTATTTAGATTTAGTTTGGATAAAATTTATATTCGATTCAATTATTATCGAGTTAAATTCGAACAACTTAATTTATCGATCGAATAGAGTTCAAACATCTTAATGTTCATCTAAAGTAATTCACAAGCCTAATTAAATTTTAAATTTTAATATATTTTTATTATTTTAATAAAAAATATTATATATATATATATATCAATTTGAGTTTAAACTCAAGTTAAAACATATAATCAAACTTGAAATTAAGCATGAAAATCAAATTTATTTTTATTAAATAAACTTAATCGAATGAGTTCAAATAATTCGAATTTTATCTCGAGTTGAGTTCAAAATTAAAAATTAAAAATTAATTGAATTAGAATAGAGTTTCAAACAACAAATTTTGAATTGAGTTCAAGATCAAATTTCTTATTGTATCGACTCAACTGGACTCGGTTATGTTTCTAGATGGGATGGGACATGGGTTTAGGAAAAAGGAAAAGAAGATGAATGTATGCTTCGATAGACAGAGTAACTAAAAAATGTGATGGAAAAATTGGAAAAGAATTTTTCTGCATATTTTTAAATGCTTCTCGTGAAGTGTACATAACAAATACCAATATATAACCTAAGAACAGGTCCCTAATTCATGGGAGCTGTAACAAAGCAATCTCCATGATCTAGTCCTAAAATTCAACAAGATATTTAAAATCAAGGGGCGAAAAATGGGGGAATGAACTAACAAAAATGAAACCAATAAAAAATTTTTTTTTTTAAATATAAGAGAAAAAAACACTCTGGGCTGATGTGGGAGCCTCACCAAATGACCTTCCCAAGCCATTCTCTTCCTACACCAATGAATCCAATGACATCAATTGGGAGCACTTCTACTCTTTGTGTATTTTGCACCTTATTCCAACCTATGCACTTAAGACAAGAACCCTTGCAGGAAGATCAATACGAGTATCCTTTTCCGACCCGAAAAAATAAACATTGATTGCTATGTTACAAACTGAAAGAATGAATTTCATGTCTGTGCTAGTCATGCAGGTCCTTTGTGCAAAATGTTTTGAGAGATGACAGTAAATCCAGTCCTCAAAATTGTTGCTCTCTTGGCTAACTTTCATCTCACCTTCTCAAATAGATTCAAGAAAATTTTTAGGTCGCAATAAAACATGACACTCGACTTGCTGGTGTCTCTTCCAAGTCTATCTTTTTTTCTAACTCCTCTAGCTGCTTAACTACGATTCCAAAATGTGGCAGTTCCTAACAAAATCATTTGAGTAGTTTACATACTTGGTCCAAAATGGCCGAAGATGCTCGAAGCCAATCTGCAGCCATGGTTTTGACTGGCCATTGTAATGAATAACTGCAGCTTTTTTCACATTCTCAATGTTGGTCTTACTCTGATAGCCCAAGCCAAGCATATGCCATGATGGGTCAATTGGATGAACATGGCCTTTAAATGCAATCAAAGCAGGTGGTAGAGTTCCAAGCTTCCACATTGTCAGGTTTGACTTCAGGTTCTGCCACAAAGAAACCAACAATCAGAGTAAAAGAGTTAAAAAAAAAAAAAAACTGTTACTTGCTAACAATTCACTATAAAAAAATACTAGTTGATGTGTTATGATCTAAGTTTACATCCATAGTGAAGTTTTAGTTTCCATCACTTTTTTCAATCCAACCAAAGATGGGTCAGAAAAATGTATTTAAATTCTGACTTGAAAATAATGTAAAACAAAATGAAATTTCTTGTACAGAAACAGTGCCCTTCTACAATATAAAAAGATCACAGCCCATCCCCATACAGATCAGTAAATGTAAAGGAAGGATGACAGTGATGAGATTCAATTTCAGACACAAGGAAAGGGTCAAAATCATTGATCTGAACCCTTAAGCTAAGTAGATGATACTTCATTTCCAAAATTCAAAATAATCACCTTTGATAGTCATTGTGAGAAAAATCCAAGAGTAAAGGATGTTAAATTACAGAAACAGTCAGGAAAACTAGTAGCTGATAAATTACCTCTTTCAGCCAGGAATGATATGTTTCTCTTATATTTGTGTTTCTCCATGCACGGAGATCAAATATATTCATCCCATAAGCCCATGCACATTCATCAGGATCCAAATGCTTAGCTATAAGGGGATGGGAAAAATTGAAGTAGTTTTTGAAATGTTTGGACATCACCCACTCATCTTCACCTTTACAAGTTTCTACAGCTCCATTAACCTTTCCCCGTAAATCAATCTCCCAAAGGGGAGATAAATCACGCTGAATTACAATATCGTCGTCTAAAAAGACCACTTTGTCAAGGTTTGGAAAGAGCTGTTCAAAACACACAATCAGAACACACTTTGGGGGAAAAGGCAATGTAACATAAGTGAAATCATCCATGTAAGAGAAGAAATTGTTATAACAACATCTAATTACCTCTGGTAAATAAATCCGAAGATGGTTGAGTAAGGAAATGTACTTTGGACTTCTAGACTGCAATTTTGAAGCAAATGTTCTAGGAGTAGTATCAGAGAGATTTGCCCCTGCTACATGATTGCCATGATAGTAATTTCTGATGCCATTATGGTTCTCCACAGCTTCAAGCACAGGAACATTCTCTCTAGTTAACCAATCAAACTGGTGAACACCTTTCACTTCAACTATGGCAGGGGAAACGGGGTTTAGCGCAAACCAGGAGTGCATACCCGCGTAAGTTTTCTTATCTGTGATGATATGGAAGACAATCTTTTCAGGTTCTAGTGATGACTGGACAGTAGAGGTAACAACTACTGATGCAGCCAATATGTTGTCCGTTGGCAGGACAAAGTGGTAGTAAGAGTTGTTAGAAAGCACAGGGAGGAGCTCGGGAGAAGGCAGCTGTCTGCGAGCATGAGCATTGGAAGAGTATTCATCAGTTAAACGCAGAGAAAGACAGTGGATGCCTTTTGGAATGGAACTTGCGGCAAAGTGTTTGTTCATCAGCTCTGCAAATTTAGACTCCCTAATTTCTTTTTCAAGTTTCTCCATCTGGCAGAAAAGACAAATAGTCAAATACGAATTAGGATGTTCACCAAACTTACATAATATGAGAAAAATTAGAATCTAAATGCATGCAAACAAATTTGAACTTCTCAACACTTTCTTAAAATTTTCAAGATGCAAATATAACCCAAAAAAAAGGGTGGGGGGGATCGGAGCTACAACAGAAAAACAGGGAAATGTAAGCCAAAGCTAGTGTGTAAAGGACATTATAACAACACTTTAGGGTCAAGATACCCTTCTAGCAACAAAATAGCAAATAACAATGCAATAAATTAAAAATAGCAATAATTTATGTAACGTGACCATACCATTGCTCTTAATATGAATGCAAAGGTCTTTGCATCATACTGGTTGTTCTTCATTTCAGAAACAAGTTGACTAAATGAATCTGGAAGCTTTAGACCATCAGGGATTTCCTCAGTGTTTACTTGATTGAGGATCTTATAAAAATCCTTAACTAGTCTCTGCTGGACCATCATCATCACCACAAAAGCCCAAATCAAATTACAATCATAAATAAATTGTTGACCACAAGACAAATCTAAAATGCATATCCAGTATGGAGAGAACATGATACTTACTCCTGAATCATCAACTCTCCCAAGAAACCTGGGTCCGAACCGCCTACCTAAACAATCTGGGCACAACAGAAGAACAAGAAGAAAAGTCACGGATCCAATGACAACATTATAAAAAGATAAAAGGCAGAAAGGAAGAAATGTACCAATCTAGTAAGTTAACTCAGAATGCAACAAGAAAAACGGATAGTTCTTAAATGATCCTAGTCAAATTTTATCAATATAGACATTGATCTTAAATTACAAGAAGAACTAAAGAGCAGGATTAAAATATTGGGTTACAAGCAATCAATTTCAAGCACCAATGAGGACATCATTATATAAGTTTTGCTTAACCAGTTCTAATCAATCCCCGTGTATTTCCATCAGGAAAGTAAGCGCTGAAATTTAGCCATTAAGTACATAAATAAAATTTTGAAAAATAGAAACATCTGGTCCTAAGTCGAACGATTCTAAAGAAATATAAATTATTTTAAAACCTAGAATTTCACTAACCTAATTTATGTAAATAAACTGGAAAAGAATTCATATGCTGATAAACAAAAAGAACAACAAATAGGAATACAACAAAGAACAAGACTAAATCCATAAACATGGAAGACGACTTCAATTGAAATATAGGCATCAGAAAATGGAAAAACATGTATGAGTTGACACTGTGGAGCAACCAAATGGGTTTCAAACTTTCAGCACTATCTGTATAATATATCTAGTTCAATTAATCTGATGTCCAAAGCATTTATTGATTAACAAATGAACAGCACCAACTTAAGATTCAGATTCAACCAGAAAAATTAGGTCCAAGAAAACCCATTGATGGATCCATTTTTATTATATTCGGATTTTATAAGAATGCAAATAACTTTTTCAACTTTCAGCACCACCAAACACAAATTTGCCATCAACATTCACTGCAAAATAAAGAATCAGGGACCAAGGCAATCATGCCAACCCACATATCCTAATTCTGTAATCCAAATTAAGTGAACATATTCAACAATTAGCTCCATCCAAAAATCAAATCAGATGGACATGAATTCCCAAAATTGGAGCTCCATCATATAAAACAAATGAAATAAACTCAAGAGCCCCCCACCACACCCGGCTACCCCTAATCAAGTGCATGACCAACTATACATATCAACAAAATGAGAATCAGGATAATTTGAGATTCTAAAGAAAAAGTCTAGCATATCGACAATACTAGCATTATCTATGAAGATAAAAAAAGAACCAACTGATTATCCAATTAGCTCCATCCACACAACAAATCACATTGACATCAATCCAGAAAATGCGGGCATCATAATATCAACCAAAATCACCAGCACAAAGAAAATACACATGAACAAAGTGAGAATAGGATAATTAAGATTCCATGAAAAGCCTAACAGATAATAAAACTAACACCAAAGGGCAAAAAAAATAAAAAACACATCAAATCAGCTGTCACCCCATCAAATGCATAATAAAAGGAACCCAAATCAAATCCAATGAAGATCTATTAGAAGACAATAAAGGAAAACAAAATAATAGAAATTAAAAGGATACCAAATGAGGAGCACTTGTTGACACCTTCGAGGGTAACAAGAGCAGTAAGAATGAAGACAAAAGGCAACAAGAAAGCGAGGATGAGAATGGTATGGAAAAGGGTCCTATATGAAATATGCCTAGCTGCCACCTTGATCTTCATCAAGTCAATAAACCCATTGTTGCTTGATATCGTTATACTTCTCATGCTAGGCGAGAAATGAAGCTGCATCCTTCTCTATGCAGCCCCACCACACCTGAACAATTCTTCTCCCCTCTCTCCAAAAAGACACCACCTTTCTTATTATGATGAAAACCAGCTGTTGCTTCTCCCCAATATCTCTCTCTGCTCCTCTCCACACACAATCCTACCCCCACCACCATCAGATCCAACCCTTTTCTCTTCGTTTCCTGATTCAGACTTTGATTTTTTTAACTGGGTTTCCTTCAAAACTCTCCCCTTTTGTATTGGTCTTTCTAACAAAGACCTCCGCTGCATTGGATTTTTAACCCCCAACCAAAAACATGGGTTTTTTCCTTTTTTTCTTCCCCCTTTTTTTTTGAATTTTTGGATCAAAGAATCAAACTTTGGGGGTTTTTGAAATCTGGGTTTTGATTATTGAAGCTTCAGCTTTGTTATTTTTTGCTCTGAAAAGAAAAAGAAAGAGAAACTAGGTTTTTTTTTTTTTTTGTTAAAAATGTTTTGTTTTTCTCTTTCCTTTTGGGTTCTAATGGAGCTCTCCCATTGGTGGATCAACTCATCTAATTTCTTTTCTTAGAAAAAAAAAATTAAAAAAGAGAATAATTTCAAAATAAATAAATAAATAAAAATGATAAGTTTGATTTTTATGAGTCAAAATTTGGTTTTAGAGAGAGAAAGGTGGAGTTGGAGTTTGACCTCTGAGGGGGTGACAAAGCAATGATCCTATCATAGCTAAATTTAGATGTCTTCTCCTATGTTTATGCACAAGCATTTGCTTTATCTGTGGATCCTATTTTCTTATTTTACTTTAAAAACACAAATTTTAAGTTTTTTTCTCATTAAAATTAAAATATAGTAACTTTTTTATTTTAATGATATTTGAGATTATTAAAATTTAATCTTTAATCATTTAAATTAAATATTAAATATTTTTTTATAGATTACATAATTATTGACATAATTTTTCTTTTATATATATAAAAAAGGGGTATTGTTGAAATAATTTTTTATATAAAAGAGAATTTTTTTAAAAAATAAGATAATGAATTAAATATTGAAATTTGAATCAAAATATATTTGATATCACCTCTTAAAAATAATTACATAAATTAATTGAGTTAAATTTTGATATAATTTTTTTATTTTTTAAAGAGAAAATGTAAAGTTTGTGCAAATTAGAGGATTGAAAAGAGATTTTTTTTTTTTGGCTAAAATGTATTCAAAAGTGTTCTAATACTACTATTTGGCATTTTATGAATTAGTGATAGAGGGAATATATAATATGACATTGCTTAAGGTAGAAAATATGTCTTAATCATAAATCAATTTAGGTGTAAACATTATAATGACTCTTGATCAAATTGCTTTATTTTTTATTATGAATTAAATTATGAAGAAAATGTCAACATATGTTTTTATTTTCCTTCACTTTAAAGACTTTTCTAGATTTAAAATTAAAAAATAGAGAAAAAAAAGGAAAAAAAATAAAAAAGAAATTTCCAATTAGAAGAGCCTACCTTAGTACTTTTTTTTTCTTACCCTTAGTATTTATAAATCTCATTAGATCTTTAATTCTTGGGCTACCATCCTACAAGTCTAAATAAACCTTAATGTTCACATAGCACTTTAATAATCACATATAACTTTTTTTTAATTAAAATAAAATTTTACGTGAACATTTATTTATTTATTTTTATACGTTAAAAAATAATAATTTTTTTTATAAATTTTATTTTTATTTTAAAATAATTATTAAAAAATTATTACACAATCACAAAGATTAGCCGGTGTAATTTTATGCAAAATCAACTCTTAATCTTGTTCAAAGCCAGCTAACATTAATAAAAACCAACATTACTTTTTCCAAATGTTGAAAAGTACTTCCCAACATTGTTTTAGGCTGAATTTACACTTCTTTTGACAACAAAACTAAGTTTGACAATGAGCTAAAAGTCATATAAATGGGGTTTAAAACTAATTATTTCACTTAACTATTTTTAAACATCCTTCCAAAGTTAGGTGGCTTTAGGCCAGTTGAATAACCAAACTCTAAATCATTGTGTTTTTAATATATACTTTTGCACTCAACATGTGATTAACATAGTATTTTATATGGAAAAAAACCTTCTACATCGGGTTTGATTGGCCTTTTGTCCCATGATTCAATGATTGATATCAGGATTTGGGACAGGACCATAAGGGATGATTTAATTTGCATCAAATGTTATATTCTTTAGCCAATAGGTTGGTTAAGTTAATAAGAATAGAATATGTCATTTGTAAAAATTATGTTTGATTTTCATTTACAGTAATTTTTTTAGTGTATGATTTGTAAATTTAATAATAATTTTTTTAAATAAATCTTTATTTTTTTATTTACATTCAAGTATGCTCTTATTTTAATCAAAAGATTAATTTATATTAAGGGTTTATTTAAGTATAAATTAAAAAATAATGATTTATTTAGATACAAATTAAAATTTAAAAATTTGTTTAAATGTAAAGTAAAAGCTAAATATTTATTTGGATATAATAAAAATATAAAATTTATTTAAATAAAATGATAAAATTACAGAATTTTTTTTATTTTAGAAAAAAATATATTCTTTCAAAATTTTTTTCTCCTTTTGAAGTGGACCTATCAAGGAGAATCCCTTAATTTGTAAAGAGTAAGAGCACATGACATGTAGCAGTGAGTTGGAAACAGTAGGTTTGAAAGCTCAGACGATTAATGGGTGAATCAATCCAAAGCCAAGATGTCAAAGAGCCCAAAAGAACGACTTACATCTGTCGTCTTAGATTATTAAATACATATATTTTATTTTAATTTGAAAAATTAAATAATTTATTTATTTTTAAATTTTTTTATCAAAAATAGAAAGAAATCCTAAAAGTGGATCAACTATAAATGGAAACAAAGATATTTAGTCACATCCAACTCCCAATTCCCTACCTATTCGAAGCCTGTTTCACTGTCCTAACCTATTTGTTTTTGTCTCAAGCTCACATTCCCTGGTTTGCCTACCTCAGATCCTTTTCAACAAAGGCCCTACTCTTTGTAGTCCAAAAACTTCAAATAAATTGTATTGTGTCATCTGATAGGGGTATTTTAGTATGAAAGAATAAAATATTTATATTTTTAGAATATAAATCAATTGATAAATAAAAATATTTTGATCGAATTAATATATCAAATCGATTTAAAATTTTAAAATTTATGTTAACTTGATTATCTTAATAGCTTATTAATTAATATTTTAAAATATTAATTTATCAAGTTTTGAATAAATAATTAATTGAGCTTACGAGATTAACCTTAATTTCTTTTGTTAATCTAAGGCTGTGCTGATATAGGGCTATATAGACTTAAAATCCTTCGTTATAAAGTACAAATAATCTTATTCAAGTATTTTTAATTGATCGAGACACATTACTTTTAAATTTTTATTCTTCTCTTTTTTAGATAAAACTCTAATTTGAATATTGGAACACAAATATCGGGACAGCTTGGCACAAACATCATCATTTAAATGATAAAAAGGATCCACCAATCTCATCAGACTAAAAAAACACAATGATGCAAAGACAGAGAAAGGAGTTAAGAGGTTTCATCATTATTATAGATGGAAGAAACAGAAACAAAATCACGACAAATATCAAGAAGTCATAAGTTTGAGTTATAGTTTGTGAAAAATAATGGTTAAATCTGTACATTTGACATGTTCATGTTGAGATATTCACGGACAACTGACTCAAAGAATCAATATGGTTCACTCCCATAAGCTCAGTGGAAGATTCCTTTGTTCATGGAGTTTGGCCACAAAATTTAGTACTTTACACCACTTGTAGGGGTATAGCAGTAGTTGAAGGCATAGCCATAAATGCATTTGCTTGTTTTTGCTTCTCTTGGTTCGATGTCAGAAGAGGTTTAGAGGCATAGAAATGATCAAATTATCCATTTTGACAGCAAGGCTTTCACTAATCATTATTGGTCAACATGTTCAAATTAGCATCTGACTAACTTATTTCGTTTCGCCATTGTAAGTTTTGTAGGTTTTTTAGAGAAATAAAGAAATGTCAAGAAATCATGAGGCTATGTTATGTGACTGCAAATCTGAAAACGAAAAAAGGAAGGCGCAAACAGGCTCAACTAGAACTTGTGCATGTAGATATGCCTTATCGCCATAGGCTTTGGTGCTCAAGAGGAGCAAATCTGTTAACTGCAAAGCCTGCAGCAACAACAAATTGCAGAGGATCCTTTGCAACACTGGCTTTAACCAGTTGTACATCCCTACTATTAAGTACCTCGCTCTCCATGGCTTGTGTTGTGACCACAAAGAGTCACTAGTTCACCCCTCTTCTGTGGCCAAAGACATGAACAGGGAAGGAATACACAACAATTGCAGGGGTGTAGCACTGTTTAATGCCAGTGTTGCAGATGATAAAAGTCATACGACACAAACTAATGGTGACATCCCTACTGTTGAGTACCATTCCATCCATGGAATATGGCCATAGAAAGAGAGGCATGAATGGCAACGAGTACTTAAACACTTGTAAGGGGTATAGCACTAATTGAGGTTTGCGTTGCAGAAGCCAAGCTAGTGCTGGACTGGAAACAAAAAGGCATATGCATTTGCTGCAAGAGCAAGAAGAAAGAAAGATAAAATCACTGAAAACTAAATTTTCTGCATCTTCATTTTATATCAGGGAGGAGGTTGTTGGGGTTACATAGCCTCACAGATGGTCAAATTATGCAAGAAAGGGTTTTCAATTCTCAAATAAGTTTCCATTCATTTCGGTTAATAGCAAACAGACTTCAGAACTTGTTGCTGAAAGCAAACATAGTTGATGTCATAATATAATCACATCATCCAGAACACTGGTATAGACTTGAAAGAAAGGTAAGAACAGAGGAAAAAAAGAAAGAAACCAACTGCATGGTTACCATCCAATCAGCTCCATATCTAGATGACACTAATAAAAAAGAAGAAACCATTCTCTTTTATTTTATTAATTCAATCTCTATCTTTAGCCCGACTAAAGTTCATAGTAGGATCAAATTCTTGTAGCTCCATCTCAATTCCACTGCAACATTACCATCTTGCTTACGAACAATTTGTCAAAATATTGATGCTAAATCCTAGACGAAGGATTACAATTAGTTTCATTGGTTCATACAGTTATCCTTAAGAGATGATATCCAACAAGCTTGTAATTCAAATTCCACCGGCAACCACTTCATCTATCTTCAGATCACGACCTCCTTTATACCTTAAAAAGACCACATTCAAAGGTGATATGCGAAGGAATGGAGTCCCAAGATTTTACTCCAAAATGAATCCCATAGAGAACAAGGGCACTGTTTTAATCTTGTTTTTAAGGCTACTTAGGCTATGCGACTATGTTCCAATTTAGAAAATGGATTTGCTAATTGCAAAAAAGGAAAGTCAAGTTCTCAGTTGAACAACCACAGAAAACATGAAAAAACATTGGCTGAGACTCGAGGTGACGTTTATCTTCCCTTTTACAATCCTTTGACAAACCTAGAGTAGTATAAGGTGTAAACCATCTGCTCGAATGCTAAGAAACAAAAAAACATTGGCTGAGACTGAAGGTGATGCTTAGCAAATGGTTTGCTGGGAGTGAATGTTCTAAATCGATGACCATAATCCATAATTAGAGTGAAGGAGTAGGCTATCAAATGAAACATGGTGATTCATTTATGAATGACCATCCTTTTAAGCATCCATTCCTGATTTGATCATTGAACAAGATTGGAGCAGGTAATAGTGACACAGTGGCACTGGCCCAGCCTATATCAAACTTCTGACTCAAGCGGATTATCCATAAAATTGCAGGTCACTCTCAAACTCGCACACTATCAATATTCAATAGAATTTCATACAGACGACAGATTTTTTGTGTAAACAACAAAAAAAGCGTCCCATAGAAGAAACCCAAATATTTCCGACTCCAATCATCCAATCCCAAGAATTTGATTGCTACTCCACTTTCATAACTTTTGCCCAAAACGCCAAACCCTCCTGCGTCCTGCCTCTCCACATAAGCCCCACAACCCTCTGTAAACCCTCGAAAAGTCATGGCCTCTCATCACCACCACAACACCACCTGCTGCTCCTCCTGCTGTTGTAGCCAGTGCTGCCAACCACCACCACTACAGCCACAGACCCAACACTCTGACCCTCTTTTACAAGCCCTTGCCTCTCTCCTCCTCCAATCCCGAGCCCCTCCTCAATCACAACAAAATCATTATCTAAGTCTAACCCATCTTCTCAAAACGTTCCAAGGTCAAAACTCTGCCAGTAGAAAACATCACTTTCATCAGAAACACCACCACCTAGAAGAACCCAACTTTCTCCTCTCTTCACTTGTCAGCCGCATCAATGCTCTCGAATCATCACTCCAACATTTTTCCGAAACTTCAAATTTTTATTCTTACCCTTCATGTTCTCTTAAAGATGCAGCTGCTCGTGTCATCCAAACCCATTTCAGAGCCTTCCTTGTTCATAGATCAAGAACACTTAGACAGCTCAAAGATCTTGCCCTCATCAAATCAAGACTCAATTCTCTTAAACTCTCAATTTCAAATAAAACCTATTTTGTTTGTGAAGCTGTTTCTCAAAAAGCCATGGACTTGCTTCTCAAACTTGACTCTTTTCAGGTATATCTTTAGTAGGTACTTCTAAAATCTCGGTTGGCTATCCTTCTTTTTTTTTTAGATTTTAAAATATGTTTTTTTTTGTAGGGTGGTGATCCAATGATTAGAGATGGTAAAAGGTCAGTTAGTAGAGATTTGGTTCAGTTTTTGGAATATATTGATGGGTTGGCTTTAAAATGGCATAAGCACTTGTATAAAAATGCAAAAAATGTGACGGTTTTTGGCAATGGTAGTACAGCTAGGATTTTGAGGTCTAATTCTGGAGATATAATGGAGACATTGGTAGAGAGAGTTGAAAAACTTGAGAGGTTTTCTAGATATGAAGATGGTGATGATGTGGAGCTTGAAGGGTTTCATCAAATTATTGGTGAAGAAGAGAATCCTAGGATTTCTATTGCTGGAAATGGTGGGGTTTTGTTGAAAAGGCAGGGGAGTCAACCTAGAGGGAAGAAAACTGTGAGCTTTACTGAGAATGGGAATGTGTATAGGATTATTGGTAGTGGAAATGAGGTTTGTTCAAGTGGAGATAGCAGTTTAACTGATGAGAGTGTTTCAAGTGATGATCATGGAGAGATAATGGAGAATCTTCTTAAAGAAAGTGGAGGATTAGTTGAGAATGAGGAGGAAGTGAACTTCGATAATGAAGAATCCTTCCAGAGCAGCGATGGAGAGAAGAATACCAGGAGGGACTTGAGCAGACAGGCTAGAAGTGAGATTAATGGGGATTATCAGATTCAAGATGGAGATTTTGTGTTTTCTGCTCCATTGCCTAATAAGATGGAATCCAAAGCTGACCTGATGAAGAAGAGAAAGAGTGATCTCAAAATTGTCTCATAGACAGCTGCATTATGAGGGGATTAGATGTTTATTGGCTCTTCCATATTGTCACTCTAATTTTGAGTTCGGATTGATGAGAGAGTGCAACATGGAGGTGTCTTGATGGCCCCTGCTACCTGTTCGTTGTTTGTAATATGGCAGGGCCTGGATTTGACTAATTTTCTGTAACTTGCCCCCAAGTGTGTGTTTAATGTTAGCTGAATTGAATTGCCATTCTTTCCTTGTATCTTGTCTTCACAACCATTATTCCATTAAGAAGGTACAGAGTTAATGTTTGAGCTTACTGGCTCATAAAAATGCGGAAATTGTGGTCAAAATTTTCCAATATCTAATACTGTATTCCAAAATTTTGCCACTGAAATGCCATATTTACCGAGCAAGATCTGTAAATGGATCCTACATCCGGCGTTTGGGTCAATTACCCTTCATTTGGTTAATAAAAAGCCCAAGATTTTATCTTTATTATATAAATTAATAATGCAGAAGCAGCTGAACGAATTGCAATTTTTTTATATCCTAGTGTAATGCTAAAAGCCAGTTTCAAAGTGGTTTAATTATCCGACACTCCAGATTTTTTTTCTTATTTCTATGTTGCGATCATTTTTATAAAAAAAAAAAAAAACACCATATTTTGTTTTTAACTTGAAAAATCTGCAGGGTATGCACGTGGCCTGAACCAAGTGATTGAGTGGTAGCATCAATAATCATGAGATCCACATTCTCCATTTTATAACGTGACAGATTCTATGGATACCCCCCCCCCCTCCGGTCTTTGATGCCCTTTTCTTCCGTTCTTTCTGTCTATATTGCAATCTCAGATACTACACCGGGAACCAAACAATTATTGCAGTAACAAAGAACTTAAGCTACCGCGAATTGAACCTATTGAAAAAAGCTAGCCCCTATGGTTCAGATACAATCAGAGCTCGTGCCTTCTGTAAACGGCTTAATCAGTTTTGTATCGTGGTCACTTACGTTTAGGAGAAGAATTTGTTCCAATCAGCCATTCCAACTTCTGTTTTCAAAAGTAAGAGAAGTGCCTATCACTAGTCAGAACTCGGAACCAAGAGACTGATTGAGGGACCAGAATGGTAAGCACGGCCTTTTGTTTTGGTGAATTTCAGTTGATGAAAGCTACAGCAGGTCCAAATTGACTCAAGGTTTGGTGCCTTCAGGTTACGACAAGTAAATTACTTTCATTTCATATTTTTTGAAGTCATTAGGCTACTGAGATTTACTACCCTTTAAACATTCAACAAAAGGAAAAGAATATAGCTCATAGAAATCTAAATTTTCTTCAATTCTTCAATGTATGAAACAAAAGAATGGAGGACCAAAAAAGAGAATGTTCAATCAAGATAAAGAGAAAACTTTCTGCTAACCAGCTCCTACTGATCGATGTCTACGAAAACTATGAGTCAAAAGGGAGGAAAAAAATCACATTACAGTATCGAACTCCGAAGAAAAGCACCAATGAACTTTGCCATACCAAGTGTCAATTGAAAGAAGTACGCCAGAAGTGAGTTATTGACAGTTTTAAGCTATATGCAGTAAGGTCCTGTCTCCAATATGAATTACCATTGAAAACTGGAAGAAAAGCCACCGATGTACTGTACACTTCGGGAAATGAAAAATGAAATATTTGGCATCACCTTTCATCAGTTAGCAACTAGGCTCAATAGAGCCTCACTCTTGCAGTCATTTCCAACACCACATGACTTGAATCCAGTGTCTCCTTTAGCCTCTTCATTGTGCATAACTGGGAGATTAAGGTCAATAACATCAGAGATATCAGAATATTGTGGCTGCTTTGCAGGCTGTTTTTCACTAGTTTCTGAGTCTTTCAAGCTGTGAGACCTCTTGTGACCACCCAAAGCTTGCCCTGACCCAAAAACCTTTAAGCAGATTCGGCACTTGTGCACCTTATACACCCTTGTTCCGTAACTTGTCGCCCCATTCATTTCCTGCACCACTGAATTGTCAACATTCTCAATCTTCACAAGCTTGAGACTAGCCTCAAATTCAGGAGAACGGCTACTCTGAGTAATTTTCTCACAGTTCTCAATCTCCTCTACGGTACAGCTATTACTCTTTCTGTGGATTGTTTGGTGACCTCCAAGGGCCTGATGAGATCTGAAAGTCTTGCTGCAGATCCTGCACTTGTATTTGTTCTTTTTCTGGGAATCATCAGACATCTCCGAATTCATTGGAGTACTTACAAACTTGTTCAAAGAATCTCCCCCTGGATCTGCATCACAAGCAACAAACATTGCATCTTTGCAAGAACTAGATTTTGTGGATCCCAAACCAGCTAAATCCCATCCTTCCATCAAATCCTGCCCAGGTTCTACTTCAATAGACCTGAAGGTCATCATTTCACCAGAAATTCTTTCCTCAATTTCAGTATCATACAGTTGAAATCCAGATTCATCATCCACCTTAGACACCCTGGATTCAACACCACTACAAAGCATATCACTGGGGGCTTCTGATCCAACCTTTTTTTCCTTATCAGCACTCATAATCCCTGAATCCAATTCTTTACATTCACTTATGTTCTTCTCACAGAAAACATTCATGGACGCAAGAACATCAGAATCAGAATTATCCACTCTTGGTTTCTTCATCTGGAAAGACTCATCGCCATCACAAAAAGGATTCAGCATAATTTCTTTATTTTGGTTCAAAGATTTAATCTCAGAATAATCAGAATTATTATCACAAGACTCCCAAAAAGAATTGAATTCACTCCAATTCCTTACACCCCTAGACAGCATTACCAAACATAAAGCAGCATCTTCCAGTTCTTGATCAATTTCAACTGCACTATAAGTTTCATTCAAGCTAGAAAGTGAAGAATTTGGAGCATTATTGTACCTCATTCTATTTGATCTCTTTCTCCTCACTGTTATGCTCTCCAAGGCCAGGTCTTGCCTTAAACTACCAGAGCCCGATTCGCCTAAGACCCTAAGCTTTACAGGGTGTAACTTCATATGACCAGTAAAAGCCTTCAAAGACTGAAACTTTCTGCCACATTCTTGACAGTTAACACCTTTCCTTTCTCTTCTAGAATGGTGCCTCATATGACCAAACAAAGCTTTCATTGACTCAAATTCTTTACCACATGCTTTGCACTGAAACTTCACCATTGAACTAGTAGTACCATCATCAGCAAAGCCTAAAGATTTCCAAGATTTCTTAGGGTTACCCCTCAAGCAATAACCTTGAAAATCCATGTCCTCCTTTGCCTTTCTTTTACCTGAATTCTTTTCCATTGAAAAAACTCACGTTACATAACTTGCAGAAATGCTTCTCTTCAATGCAGCTAAACAAAGAAACCCAAATTTAAAAAAAAAAAAAAAACCCACCGAAAACCACAACTATCTTCAAAGAAGCACAAGAAACAGAGGAAAAAAAGCTAAGACCCAGATCAAAACGAAGGTTGTTTTAGTAACAAGAGATGGAAAATCTTGAAACTAAATGCATGTAAAGAAGAACCCATGTCCTGTTTTGTTAACCTGATGGAGTTTAAAGTGTTAAACAAGATCTAGGTGGCTAAAGAACACTCAACAAAAATTGGGTTTTGACTCTTTTATTTTTTTCACTTGGAATTGTTTGAACTAAGCAAACGGAAGATCAAACTAAAAGAGAGTTTCGATTAAGTAGTTTGCCTTTTGGCAGTAGTAATCAAGAAAAAGACGCGAGAAATGAGAGAGAGATTTGCTTCTTAAAATCCTTGCATGTCAAGCAAACCAGCAAAGCTAACAGGGGGTTGGGAAGTGCCCTATTCTCTATAGTAGAAAATGGACTTGACTGTCTAACATTGAAAAATAAGATAAATTTTGGTTATTTTAACGTGAAATTGGAAAAAAAAAAAGAAAAGAAAAAAAAAGTTCAATGGGCGTTTGATTTGGGGTATGTAAAATTAAAGATGAAAATGTTTATAATATCTTATATTATTAAATATGATAAAAGTGACAGATACAAAAGAAAATAAAAAATAAGTTTAAAATTTTAATAAAAATTATATAAATTTAATAAAATTTTAATTTTTGAATTTAATATAATAATTTTTTAACATATATGAATTATTGAATCTACTTTTACATTTAGAAATTATCTCATTTGATTTAAAAAAATTTTGAGTGATGGGAATGTAAGGCTACCTCCAGTGCTGGAATGTAAATGAGTTGCTGATTAACTAAGAAATCAAATCTCTTTTTGTTCCATTATCTTTTCCTTTTAGGAAAAAAAAAAAAGTAATGGTAAGACGATAAGTAGAAAATTGTTAGCTTAATGCATGAGAATCTTAACCTTCCTTTTACACTTGAAAATACCACGTGCTCTAAAAAATCATCAACGGTTACGACTATTCCATCAGAACTCGAGATAAGTTGTGAGTAAATACACTGAAACCAACTCTCTGGTGTCTCCAACCATTACCATGGGCTCTCTCTCAATTCTCAAAGTCCAGCTACTGTTTTAGGACTTTCTCAACTTGGAAATGAGTAGCAATCAAGTGATGTGAAAACAATTTTTTTAATAAAGACAAATGGATGGTTGGATAATTTAGGGAAATCATGAAGATTGATTCGGAAAATTAGGTTTAATCAATCAATGTGATATAGACCTTTAACAAACTTGTCTCTTAAGGATGCCTTGATTTGTTGAGGTCTTGGGCATCTTAGAAACCAAACAAAAAAAAAAATCAAATTTAAATGTTAAACATACGAAACCATTTGATGATAATTTAAATGATTTAGTAATTCATTTTGGTCAATTTATCTTGTGTGATCTAAAAAAATAGTTAGATGTTTGATTTAAAAGACTAAGTTTTAAGGAAACTTGAAATAAGCTTTTAGTAACAAAATTAACTAATTGCAAAACATGAAGAAAAAATTTTTATATATGGTGGGAATAACCCAAGTAGCCACAATCATAGTAATAAAATTTTTCCTAAATGGTAAAACATCTATTAGTTTTACTTAGTTCAACTAAATCAAACTCAATCTTTAATCCAACTTGGTGGAATTTGGTTACATATATCTTCATCATTTTACCAACTAGGGTATTTCCTAATTACTAGGATTTTATAAAGAACATGACTCTTTCTATACCCAATTCTTTAGTTTTTGTTCCATCTTTCTGCTCTTACATTCGTATTTCGCCATTAGTTTATCTGTATTTATCAACTGTATCAAATATAAAAATTATCGTATTACAATTTATATAAACACAATTTTTTGTTATTGTCAAATTTATATATAATTTTTATTAAAATTTTAAATTTTGTTACTTTTATATATTTTTTTATCGTATTATATTTAAAATTATTATATCTACTAAATTGAATAAGGGCTTAGTTGTTTTAATTTGCTTTGTTTATATAATCTCTTTTTAGAGATGTTGGATCACCAACCCTTGATTAGGACCTTAATTATTTTACTCTCAATCATAAAGATCTGTTTGATTCTTCATATGTTATTTTAATCTAGATGAGTCTTTGCTGCTACTCCCTCTTGCCCTATATCTATAATTAACAGGCTGGCCAAACATAGATCAGATCAGAAAAAACAGGCCCTGTTATCCACATTCATGAATCAGGATAACCTAGGCTATAGTTCATGAACTGTTCTCTATCAATTCCAGGATAAAAATACGAAAAAATGATTTAAAATTTTATAAAAATTATATATAAATTTGACAAAATTAAAAAATATGTTTTGTTTAAATTGTATCAATACAAACTATGATATGAAAATTTTTATATTTTACATTTATTTAACACAAAACGTGTTTATAACATTTTAATTTAGTTACGTTTAGAATGTAAAAAAATCAGGTATATACTATAAGATGTGGAGTTTATGCATAATTTGGTTTCTTCAATGGAGTGATAGTAATGTAATAAGAAGAATGTGAATAGGAAGTCAGGTATCACTAATTATAGGGTATGAAATCCCACATGTTTTCATTAACTATTTGTTGACATTACACATTGCCTACAATCTTCACTTACGACCATCCAAATTGATGCTTAAATCGGACAACTCCATAACTTGCATGAAAAATGTTGACCACTCCATTGTCTTGTGCCATCTCACATCATTAAAACCCTAACTTTATGTGTGTGGTTGGTCAATTAGTCAAGTAATCCTTCACCTTTTTTTACCCGATTTATTGATTTAAATATATACATATATAAATTCTTTTATCACTATTATATCTCGATTGTCTAATCAACATATTAATTGTTAAATCAACACTTATTGATTATCAAATTGAACAACTCAAAATGATTTAGCACTTGATTAATATCAAATAAGTCAACTGATCACGTCAATATAAATTTAATACCGAAAAAAGATCAGATCATAAGTGATTCATTCTAAACTCATATTCTTCTTCTACATTCTCCAACCTCATCAACCACACAATGATTAATCTTGTAATCAACTGCTTAACAGGAAAAAGAGAGAAGAAAACCTAAAGATTCTGATGATGAGCTTTCAGCAAAAGCTTAAGCCAAGCTAAGCTGACAATTTCATGTCTTTGTAATAAGAGCAAAGTCATCATATAAGAAGTTAGATGATTCTCATAGTTTATTCAATTGCTTTCTATTATAATTTCGCTCCCAAATTCTCAGCATGACTGATTAAATGTTAGTAATATCAGTTTTTATTCTTATTTGGTTCCAAGTTTTGTTCCAACTGATCGATTAAGCCAACAGAGATCATAACTATCCATTGTCAAGTTTGGGGGTTAAAGCCATTTCCAAACTAAACCCTATGCAATATTAGGAGTATGCCCAAGGTTTGTGCAGCACTGCAGCTAGAGAAGAAGACGCAAGCATCAAGCAACATGAAGAAATCACACACTAAGATCACTGGTCTAGCATGGGGACTGCACGAAGAAAAATCCTCATTGTTCAGGAAAAAGAGAGAAGAAGTACGTAGGTACTCATCAGGCATGAATGAGAAAAACTGGAATTTATTCTCACAGCTTGTAAATCATTACATTTGCAGCAAAGCCCTCTTTGCTTGAAAAATACACCACGAAATAAAAAATTAAAAAATATGAGCAAATTCAAGAGTTGAGATCCCTTTCTATTGGGATCCATTCTGATGTTCGAGTCCCCACTCGTACTATATATTATTCCCAAGAGATAATCCTGAAGAAGGAAAAGAGCAGGATTCATGTCTTGGGGTTACTGGTACTAGGGACTGCAAATTGGATGGAAAAAACTGACGGTTTCTTTGATGCACCCATGGATGACAAACTCCTTCCAATAAACTACTGTGCAACACATTTCTTCTCGTCTGCTTTATGCAGAAGTTTTCACTGTAAACTATATCAACCTTATTTTTGAACTGCTGATTTTCAATCAAAACAGAGGATCCTTACCATCCCACCAAACCCTGGAAAGTTCTATCAAACCAGCTTGAATTTGAAAGATTCAAGAGAAATCAGAAAGACATGTTATTATCACAAACCAATGCCGGCCTTGCATTCTTCAAACTTTCTTGGAGGAAAGCACATATGTTCAAACATTGCGTGGCTAAAGAAGAAATCAAGTCCTCAGCTGTTATATTATCATCCAAGTGCTACGATTGGAAGGCTCCTAAATTTTCTCCATCGTTCCTTTTGTCAACCCATTAATAGAGTGCAACCAGTGAATACATCACTCTTGACTGAGTTGATTTGCATCCATCACTGTCTCAGGCGGATCACAGTAATCACCCTTCTCCCCCTGGTACTCATATGATGTGCATGAGTCATCTTGAATATCATAATCATCTTTGTTAGTCCCTTGAACCTTACTCGAGAGCTGAAAGTCACTGCTATCATAATTACCAACGAAACTTTCAACATGTGGCTCTAAAATTTCATCTATATCTCCCTCTTCTTCATCAGTTGCATCTCTACAAATATCATCAATAATATTTTCGGAAGAATCAAACCCATCCTCATTGTCATTCTCAATATCCTCATAGCAATCTTCCTCATGGTTGCCTTCATAATGTGTATAAGTTCCTTGATCAGTTGGAGATTCCACAACAGAGTCATCATCCTCTGCTGGAATTTCACACTCAGTTGTCTGCCACTCATCATCATCACTATCAATATGTACAGGGTCAACTCGGTTCTGCTCAGCACGTTTTCTGAGCATAAATACATTAAAATAATAACTGACAATGTCCTTCTTTGTACGGGAAGGGAAAACTGCTGGGAGATGATCCCAGAAGTTCTTACCGTTCGACACAGGGTTAGAGAGGACCACATTATGAAATGCCAGCTCTTCCTCGTCAGTCCATCTTTTTGCAACTTCCTCCCCCATGTCACAGAAACCCAACTCTCTGAATATTTCCAGCCCAAGGTTCTGTCTTAGTTTCTCTCTTGCTTCTGTCACATGTTGTCTAATGCATCTGATAGAACCCTGATCAAGGCATTCACAATCAATCTTGTGTCTCGCATTTTCACAAAATTTTGCAGTTGCTTCAGAATCAGACATTGGAATGACACAAGTACCCATTATCTTCTTCTCACAATCATCATCAAACATAAGGTCTGCGCATGATGATTTAAGGGCAGCTTGAGGATCTGATGTATCTAGACAATCTGAAGAGTTCCTCGGATCCTGTTGGCTCCATTGTGGAATATCAGCTTGATGCTCTGGTCCAATAGAAACTAGCTTTCGAGGAGAATGAAGAGATGAATAAATCTCATCAGATTGAAGAAAAGCCCTAATTTGGTGTTCAAATGCAAAATATTCAGGAAACAGTTGAAGATGAACTGCCACCTCTGACTCAGTATCTGCATCTATGCCATTTCCGTTTACCCACCAAAAATGAGGAACACAGCCAGAAGCACTAGTTTCATATTCCTTATTTGTTCCACTTAGAACATTGTTGCATCGATCCTCATCAAACCTACCTTCATCTTGGCACTTAGTGTAAATGTCCTCCCATTTACCTTCTTCAAATTGGAACTCTATTAGTTTAACTTACGGAGAATTTTAATTTGACTGGCTAAGTATGGTCATAAGGCTGATGCACATATTTAGATGTGATAAAGGAAACATATGCAAGCAATTAGTTTGCCACATTACAAGATATATGTAATTGAAAGACATAGGTACCAAAATGCTTCTATAAATTCACATATCCACAAAATTATAAACAGCTTATCGTTAACAAGTTTAATGCACATAACATAGAGCTATCCAACCATGTTTTAAAGAAGAATCACAAGCAAGTTCATCAAGTGAACCTTCCATGTATGTAATCAATGAAATAAAGGAGAATCCACCTTCTTTTGTTTGATAATAGGAAAACACATATGCATGTATCTTTGCTTGTTTACTTTAACAGTATGTTCACCATGCAAAGATTGAGTTGTCAAAAGAACCCTTACATAAGTTTACCGGATAATATCAAGTTAAGCATCAAATGTCACATACAAGATGAAATACAAGCAATTTCTAGCATAAAGGTCTAAGCAAGAACACTTAATCAATTTACGCAAAAAGATTATAGACTTATCAACAATGTAGTACCATGAATTTGACGATTTTGGAGAGCACTGTGGGAATGAACACTGTTGATAACTGAAGCAAAGCAGCTGGTATCTTCCCATTGCCTTAGATGCTTACAAGCAACCTCTTGAGAGTCATCAGTGAAAGGACGCTTATGAATCATTTTAGCCTGCAAGTAAAAAGTAGTCATATTTTAGAGAATAAAGTTTATGCACCAAAGGATTAGTATGAAAGGATGTAGCATTTCTATATATTTCAAGGAATGTAGCCTACATTGAACACAATGAAGGAAAAGGATTCACATAATTGCTAAGAGCCAACTAAGTAGACATGAGTTGTACGCATCAAAGATGTAGATGTCCATAACTTAACAAGTAGTTAGGAAAACATATCCAGCACTTAATGGAGCCAAAAGTCGAAAAAACACAGAATCAAAATATAAGCAGCTCGCTTGCATCATGCAAGTCATCAATCATCATACTTAGTAGCAATTAATGAAGCCAAAAGTGGGAAAAAAACACAAAGAAAAGCCAAATTAAAACCTCAGAGAATTTTGATTTTAAACTTTCCACTGATTTCAAACCTTTATTTTTCCTAGATTTCAAGATTAGTATATACCATTTTCCTTTTTTTTTTCTTGGTAACCCATTTCAAAAACCATATTGTACTTTACAAAAAACAACAAACATTCAAAAACTAGCTAATAACTAATTACCAGTTTTTTTTCTACAAAGGATGCCATAACCTAGTAACCTAGGGATAGGAAAAGGGTTGCAGATATTGAGATTTGAACTCATTCGATGCCACCTTTATACCTTAAGTAACTGAACTATCTGACTCTGAGCTAAAATCTAAGTTCAACTAATTAAAATTGTTTATCATTATATTTTTTAACTATCAAAGCAACCAACCTCTAAGTAAGGATGAAAACAATCGCATTTAAATAATTAATTAAAAATAAAAAAATTAATTATTACTCAAAATTAAAGCAGGGAAAACAAAAATGCAAGTCTATATTCTGAATAATTCAGCTAAATGAGCTTTGTTCTTACCTGAGAATTTGTTGACCAATCAACTGAGAAATTGAAAAGAACCAGGAATAGGAAATAATTTAAAATTTTAGATAAATGAAAATTATACTTTTTAAAAAAATTAAGAACTGATTAACAACAAATGAAAGGTATAGAATTAGAAATTTTACTATTTTAAATATTTTACACGGAAAAAATTAAATGAAACAAAGGGAAATTTTTGAATAAAAGAATCCCTATAAAGTTTCAATATTTATGAAAAACCCGGACAAATTCGACCGACCCAGAAGAAATTGAATAAAGAAACAGAAAAATCCTAGGTCAATGTTTATAGATCAAAGAACCCCTTTTTGAAATTCATCGATTTCGAAAACCCTAACCCTAAAATCCAATTCGAGACACAGGAATGGGTAAATTAGGATCAAAAGAAAGAGAGAAAACGAATGCAAAAGGAAAAGAATCGAACTGAACAAAAAATAAAAGGGGGAAAGATTTGAACGAATTCCGGATCGAAAATTTGAGACGGATTTGATTTTCGATCGCTGAATCGGTAAAAGTTAGGGCAAGGTTTATTTATAGAATCGAAATGGTGAAATGCGACGGCTGGGGTAAAACGTATAATTACTAAAAGAGCTAAGAATCTGCCGGAAAATTACGGGCAATGCCACTTTGGGATTCGGGGATCTACGAAGACAGATAAGGAAGTGGATTCGTCTGACGAATTCGATGTAAGAAATTTACGTGGGCAAATGCTGGATATATGACCAAAAGTTTACGTGATTGCTTAAATCAATATAAATTTTTTAATTGTAACAATTGAAAACCTAAATTATTAAAAATGTAACAAATAAAATTTTTTTTTTGAATTAAATTATAGATGACAAGAGCTTTCCTCAATCTGATTTTAATATTTCAATATCTATATTTATAATATTAAAATATTATTTTTTATCCAATTCGTATTTTTATAAATCATAATTGATTTAATTTAATTTCAAATAATTTAATAATTCTAGTTAAATAAAATATTTTTAATATAAATTACATTTTAATTATACATAAATATAATATTTTTATTAAATTAAAATATTAAATAATAATTTAATTAATATAATTTTATATATAATTAATTAATTAATTAAAAATACTTTTATCTATCCAAATTGGTGGTGCCACCTAAAAATTCAATTCCCACCCAAACCCCACATTTAAAAAAAAATCAATTTTATGAAATCAAATAAATTAAAATTAATAAAATATAAATTATTTTGACACCTCTAAGTAAAATCCAATAAATGTAATACACGTTATGTTAAAATAGCGTGAGACACTATTTAGCACACATGTCTTTCTGAGCTGGGAAATGAATTTTTTTTTTTACTTATTTTTCTTTCATCTCTATTCTTTATCAGTTCTTTCTCTTTCTCTTAAAATTCCTTCTCAGCCCTCCATCCTCGAAGCTCAGGTTTTGGCAATGAATTGCTACGTACAACCATCAATCCCCGTCTATAACTTTCAGCCACCGCTCGTTGACATTCTTTTCACCCAAAATTTAACCATTTTTTCCTCTCAAACCCATCACATCTATCAGTCTTTCACTAAAAATATTTAAAAATTCATTGATCTAAATCACTCATGTTTTCTTCTTTTTCCTCTTTGTGCTTTCCTTCCAAAATACATATAAAAATATAAGGTTGTTTTGCTGTTGTGATGATAATGCTTTAAATCCACTCACATAATAAAAGGTTGTTGTGTTTAGATCTAAGTTTTAGAGATTTTTTAATCTTCTCTAATTTTTGAAACTTTATTTGGCCCAAATTCGAGTTGATGTAGAGCTCCTCCTCTAGTTGACCGTCATGTTAGACGAGTCCCTGTTTGCTAGAGAGGAAAAAAGTTATTTATAAAATTGAAGCCAAAGTGTTCAACCCTGAATTGATAGTGCTGCTTAGGGGCGAGAAAAAAATATACAGAAAATTGATTTGAAATGTAGTGTTGTTGAATCGGTTTTTTGTATTCTGTTTAAATTAAATTTAAATATTAAATATATATTAAATTTATGATAAAAATAAAAAATAAAAAAATATAATCAAATTAAATTATATTTTTTTAACTTTTTATATTTTTAAAATATTTATAAAATAAAAATAATTATTTTATATCTAAATTTATTTAAATACTAAAAATCATATTGAAATAATATATATAATTTAAAAATAAATTTAAAAAATCAATGAATAGAACCAAATCATATAATTTGATTTGAATTGGATCAATTTCAAAAAAATATTGATAAAAATTTTAAAAAAATCAATTTAAAATTGTAATATTTGATTTAATTTAGATTAATTTTTTATTTAATTTGAATTAAATTTAAATATTAAATATATATTATATTTAGATTAAAAAGTAAAAATTAAATAAAATTAAATCGAATTATATATTTTTATTAATTTTTATATATTTTAAATTTTTATAAAATAAAAATAATTATTCTATATTTAAATTTATTTTAATATATTAAAAATTATATTAAGATTACATATGAAAAATAAATTTTAAAAGTCAATAAACTAAATTAAAAGAATTTAATTTAAATCAAATTAATTTTAAAAAATTAAAATTTATATCAAAATTTAAAATTTTATAATATTATATATTATTAAAAAATCAAATCGAATTCAATCATGAAATATTATCATATAGGGCTGCGCGGTAGGGGCTTTCAGTGTTCTGCTGTGTACTTTACTCATAGGCGCAAATGCTCTTCCTCCAAGAGAAAAGAAGCCAGTACGAAGAAGAAAATGAAGAGAGAGGCTGCAGCAAGCAGTGTTTGATTTGCTTAGTGTTATTAACGGTATTCTTTACTATTTCTTCTGAGTTGATTTTTTTTATTTTTTTGAAATATTTAAAAAAATAGAATCTTTGCTTTGTAATTATAAAACATTAAAATTTATTTTTTTCCTAATTTTTAACATTATTATTATTATTGAAAATAATGAAATGCCAAATCTTAATAAAAGAAAAAATAATAATAATAAATAGTTGAAGAGCAATGCAACGTATATCGGAAAAGAGCAGGGACTCAAGTTCAGGGGCTATCAAGCATGGCCTCCCCTTTGATGTTTTATTGTTAGAAAATTTGCTTTAAACAAGCTGATGACTCACTCCATGAATTGACCATAAAGGAAAAACAAAATTAAAAGAAAATGAGATGCGAAGCACATTTGACTCGCGCATCCACAGTTTTAACATTCACCGGTTTTGATTTCAAAACTATGTGCAAAAATAATAATATTTTTAGTTAAAGTTTTATATGTAAGAAATTATAAGTCTATTTGAATGAGTGATAAAATTAAAATTAAAATTAATAATAAAATTATTATATTTATAATTAAAAAATTCATTAAAAAATTTTATATCCAATAAATTTTATTAAAATTGATATTTAAATTTAATTAATTATATGATAAATCATATTACATCACATAAAAGTTAGATGAAATCCAAATCCCCGCTAAAAATCCTACTTGGCAATTGGCACCATTTGAGTGTAGTACAATTCACACAGTCCATCTATAAAAATTTTTATTTGTTACATCTTAAATAATTAAAATTTTTATTTGTTATAATTGAAAAATCAGACCTTGATTTGGGCAATTTCGAAATTAAATTGAGTATTTAATTAATTTGGGTTGATTGTACATAGGCATGCCACGTGGAGGAATGCAGTTGGATGTTTTAGCTTTTTTTTTTTACTTGTGCAAAACTTGTTTTTTTGGTTAAAAACTGAAGGTTTTATGTGTTAATATGGTTTAGAAAGAATAAAATAAAAATATTTTGAATGATGTTTAATAATTAAAGTTTAAAATTTTATATTCGAATATTTGATTATTTAATTTAGTGATTGATATATAATTTTTTATTGATTCAAATTTCTTAATTTTGATAAAAAAATTTTAAAATTTCATCTTGACAATTGGAAATTTCAAATCCGAATTATGAATAAATATATAAAATAAATTTAATGAAAATAAAAAATTATCTCTCATTATATAATTCAAAATTAGTATATACTTAAAAATAATTTTATTTTTAAATACTCTAAAAAATTGTTATATCTATAATATTGTATTAAATTTATTTTGGAATAATAAATAAAATTATATACTATAGTATCTTTTATTTCACATTTGGTGTTTAGATAAATAATTTAATAGAATTATTACTCATATTTAAAATTATCAAATATCATGATAATACAATAAGAGTGTAATCGAGTCGAGTCGAATTATTACCTTGCAATGTTCGAGCTTTAACTTGATTCAAAAATAAAAGCTCGAAGCTCGACTCGAACTCACTCGAATTTTATTTTTCAAGCTCGAATTCGACTCAAAGAAAAATTTGAGTCAAGCTCGAGCTCGCTCGGCTTAGCTCGAATCATATTAAAAAATTTATGATTTATTCATTCTTTACATAACAAAAATTAGAATAACAAAATAAATTTCACAAAATTTTTTGTGAATCATTCCAAATATATGAAAAAAAAAAGCATAAAAATTCAAAACAATAAAAATAATTTAAAGAAAAAACATATTAAAAGAAAAACAATCAAATCACGTGCCATCTTTTTACATAACCAATCGCAAGATAATATCAACAATTTAACAATTTAGATTCCAATAATATAAATACCCAAAGAAAAAAAAAACTAGAAATACCACAAATACCCAAAAAACAAATAAAAATATAAGGAGAAAAAACAAATATTAAAGATGCTGGAAATGATGATTATTTTTATTAAAAATTTAACTTAGCACATGCGATTGATTTGTGTCTTCGCTTTTTATAAGTTATCACTAAATCTCCGAACATAGTTTGTAGTATGAAGGATCTTTCTTGCAATAGTTTGAGTAGAAACATGACAAGGAAGATTTAGAAAAAGCAAATGAAGGGCGGGGGAGAAAGTGTAAGAGGAAGCATTATTTGAGAATGGAGAATGAGTTAAGAGGTAGCGTCGTTCAGGGGAGGAAAGCGGCTGAGAGTGAAAAAGGAAAAGAATAGATTTTAGGCTTTTAGTTTTAAGTTTTTGTCTGTTAAAGGTAAAAATGTAATTAAATTAATAAAATATATATTAAAATAAAAAAGTTTGAATAAATTTGTAAGCATTCGAGTCAAGTATTAAAATGCTCAAACTCGACTCGATAATAATCGAATTAAATTTGAATTTTTTTTTTAATCGAACCGAATAATTAAAATATAAGTGTATCATTTACACCTTTATAGTAGAGTTTTTTTATTTTATAAGTAGAGTTAATAGGGTGATACATAATTTAATGTATATTTAAAAAATAACAAAAATTAAGTTAAAAAAAAGTGAGAAGATATCACTATATTAATTTATGTGGCTTAAAAAGGAATTACAGGCATAAATTTTTTTAAACTCATAACTTTCAACTGCCAACACCAATAATATGATAACCAATCCAAAGATCAATCAATAATAATATATGAGTTTTTAAATATGAATTTTGTATGAATTGTAGCTTAATAATATGTAATTATCTTTTTTAAAGATGATATCCATCATATTTGAAACTTAAATTCAAATATTTTTAACCATTTCTCTTATCTTTAAACAGCAGTCACCTTGTAAAAAAAATAAAATTATAAACAATAAAGACGTATGAATAGAGAAGGCAGGATCAAATAATTGGAAAATTTCTCAATTTCTTTTTGAGTACTTGGATAATACCTCATTAATTCAATAGGTGTAGTGAGATTTTAAACTTTGAAAATGAAAAAAAAAAAAAAACTTAGTAGAGTTCTTTAAATAAAAATTAGCCAAGTTTTTTATTTATAAAAATAAATTTTAAGCTATATTTTTCGTTTTATCATTTTTCCTTGAAAACTTCATGAATTTTATTTAAAAGGTTCAAAATTTGTCATTTCATGAAAATTAAAGAGACTACGACAAGAAAAGATTAAGTCCATGAAAGTTTCCTAGTTCCTTTCTAGAAATGTTAATAGATGAAAAATTTGTTATTTGTGAGATATCTGTATCTGAATTTATTTAATATTTATAATATTTAAATTTATTTAAATATTATTTAAATTTAATATTATTATCCAACTTCAAATATATTTAAATAAATAATATCTATTTATTTAAATCTTTTGTTAAAATATAAAATAAATAAAAAATTAATTTAAATTTAAGGTTACTCTTAATTAATAATAAATAAAAGTTGTCAATTATTCCTTAAATCAATTGATATGTTATTGTAGTTGGTACTTAGAAATTATCGGTTCAAGCTAGTTCAAGAGATTTTATGCTCGTAATATACTTTCTAATTAGTTAAGTAGCAGGGTATGAAAGAAGTAAGGGTAAATTAAAATTTTCAAAAAGTTTTGTTATTTTTTAAAATTTTAAATTTTTTATAAGTATAAAATTTTATATATTTTATATGTAAATATGTAACGGACTCAGATATGAATTCGGATATCTATTATTATTCATTAAAATTTAAATAAATTTAAATATTAAATATTTAAAAAATATTATTTGTATTCGCTCGAAATTCGTCACAAATAATAAATTTTTTATCTGAATCTATTAATCTTTTATTTGTAATTATCTAAATCAAATATAATCGAATCAAATAATGATAAATATCCATGTTAATAGGAATATTTTCTAAAAAGAGCCTAGACTTTATTTTTTTTTTTCGTTAATCGCTTTTTCTCACGTTCTGTAGTATGCCATATGAGGCTTAGTTGTCAGCTTCGATTGCATCCTAAAGGCATGTAAATGGCTAAATTTGGTACCTTCGTATCTTCTAGTTTTTATATTGGAGGGATGGTGTTTGGCTAAATTGTTTTTTTTGTTTTTTTTTTTTCTTGTTTAAATGTTATATTAGATTACACAATAAGAAACAACTTTGAATTTAAAACATAACTCAGTTGGTTCATATAATTAATCTTAAAAAATGATAATTGATGGATTTGATATTCAAATTTTAACACTTATAATCTTTTCACCTGTCTGATTCCTTTATATAAAAAATTGAAAAATAACCATCTTTCATCCTAAAATTTGAGTTCGAAACTCTAACCTCTAATTGTTTTGGCGTCCATTTGGGAACGTGGTGGTAAACTGAAAACAATTACTTAACTTTTAAACAGGTTCTTAGATCTTTCGGTTAAACTAATGACTTTGTCCATGTGTTACTTCTAAACTTGCATGGTTCAGATTATGCTAGTTAACTTTGGGAAATTTCAACTGCAATACACTTCTCTACCTTGAAACATAAAGAATCTCAATGAAGAATAATATCTGCTCATTTGCAGCATGAGAAATATGCAAAGGGAGACCGGAGCCTTTGAACCTGTTGTCCATACATTGGCAACTCATTTGTGTCAAAGCAAAATCCAACTAGAGTTTGTCTTTTTTCTCATGCATGGCCTTCTGAGAGTAAAATTATTTCAATAAAGGGACGAAAGGTTTATGAAGTTCCACCATTAGACAGATGAAAGAAGATTAAATTGAACAAGAATAATGTTCTCTAACAAACAACAGAGATGGTAATATCGTCCAATACAATGTAAGGCACAAAACAGAGCCTTTTTACCTTCACTGCAATGGCTACTATGGGAAAGCAAGGAACAATAAAATTGGTCAAACAAATGAATAGTAAGGAATCAAATTGACGGTCTCAAACTGTAATTCTGTTGACCCTCAACACAAGCATCAAACCTGTGTATCACATTTATGCCACTGCAGGCAGGTCCTTGAGCCATGGATCCAGTGGTTTACCAATGGAGTATACTATGAAACCAATCTCCCTCAGCTGGTCCACATTCACGATGTTCCTGCCATCAAAAACAAAAGCCGGCTTTTGCATATTGTCATATATCCTCTGGAAATCAAGATTCTTAAATTCATCCCACTCAGTCAGAATGCAAATTCCATGAGCATCCTTTGTTGCCTCATAAGCATCCCAGACACAACTGACTTGCTTAACAGTTGTAGGACTCATGGGCTGGAGGTGAAGGGGATGGTCCCAGTCAAACTTGTTCATGGTAAGATCCCTCTGGATCTGGTCCTCAGTGACCTGTGGATCATATATGCTCAGTCGAGCTTTGTCTCCCAAAAGCCCCTTGCATACATCAATGGCTGGGGTCTCCCTTGTATCACCAGTATCCTTCTTAAAGGCAAATCCTAAAATAGCAATCTTCTTGTTTGAAACTGTGTTAAACATTGAGGAAACAACACGGTTAACGAAACGGTTTTTCTGGTAGTCGTTGATTTTAATGACTTGCTTCCAATACTCGGCCACCTCGGGAAGGCCATTGCACTCACAGATGTAAACAAGATTTAGAATGTCCTTCTGGAAGCAGGACCCCCCAAAACCAACACTAGCATTCAAAAATTTGGGTCCAATCCTCGTGTCCTTACCAACAGCATATGACACCTGTGTAACATCAGCCCCAGTTGCCTCACAAAGAGCAGACATGGCATTTACAGATGAGATCCTCTGAGCCAAGAAAGCATTGGCAGCAAGCTTTGAAAGCTCTGCAGACCAAAGATTGGTGGTCAGAATTCGTTCTTCAGGGACCCAATGAGCATAAACATCCTTCAATGCTAGAACAGCCTTATTACCTTCTGTGGTCTCCCGGCCTCCAATGAGAACTCGATCAGGGTTAAAAAGATCTTGAATAGCAGTTCCCTCTGCAAGGAACTCTGGGTTTGAAAGAATTTGGAATTTAATTCCCTTGCTGTTATGGGTGAGAATCTTTTCAATTGCCTCAGCAGTTTTGACAGGAACTGTTGATTTCTCAACAACAATCTTGTCAGATTTTGATACATCAGCAATCATGCGGGCAGCACTTTCCCAATATGTAAGATCTGCAGCTTTGCCAGCTCCAAGTCCCCGAGTCTTGGTGGGAGTGTTGACAGAAACAAAGACTATATCAGCCTCGCGCACGTGTTTCTCTACATCAGTGCTGAAGAAAAGGTTCTTGCCCCGACACTGCTTCACAACACCATCAAGACCAGGCTCATAGATAGGGAGCTGGTCGCTGTTCCAGGCATTAATCCGAGATACAGAGATATCAACAACAGCCACTTCAATAGATGGGCACTTAAGTGCAATCACGGCCATTGTAGGCCCACCAACATAACCAGCTCCAATGCAACAGATCTTCACCATTTTCTTTACTACAACCTAAACAAAGAGAAGTAAGTACTCAAATATCAGATGAAAACAAAATAGTGAAAACCATTCCTCAATCTTCCCAAAAAAACACAAATCAAATTGTAAATCTAGAAGAAACTTAACAATAATGTCATTTTGAAAACAACAAGACCAATATGTTAATTTGTATGTAGCTAAGCTCAAATAACTCTTAAACGTGATTCTCCTAGACAATAGAAAAGCTCAAATGAACTACTACTGAAGCACAGAAAACAATAAGTAGAGAAAAATATACTACAGATCTGACCAACAACAACTATCTCTAGTTACATTTCGATCAATAAAATGGTAGATCCAACGAGAAGCAAATGAAAATCAATACAATTCAGTTTAGATCCTTAGACAATTAGCTTGATTCAAAGTTCCAATTCAAGTTTCATAACTAAAACATCAACACGACTTACAGATCAACCAAATGAGACAACTTGGCAAACAATCTGTTTAGCTAAACCAATCAAAACGAGCTCATTTAAAGAATGGAAAATAATCTCTTTAATTCATGAAAAACCAATGTGAAAAAGCAAGAGATTTTGAATCTTGACAAATACAGACTCAGATCAAGAACTCCCACTCAAAAAGATTCAAATTTATAAGTGGCCAGTTAACCATCAAAACAACCTCAAATTTCAAAGAAAAAACCACCCGTTTAATTCATGAAAAACCAATGTGAAAAAAGAAAGAAATTTTGAATCTTGTCAAATGAAGACTCAGATCAAGAACATGCAACTCAAAAGCACTCATTTTTTAAGCAGAAAAAGAAGCAAGAAAAACACTACCCAAAAAATGAAGGAAACCCAAATCAATAAAGAAGAAATGTAAAGAAGCATATGGATAGAAAATGGAATAATTTGCATTAATTTACCTAAAAAATTGCTCCTCAAATAGAGTCAAAGAATTCAGACAAAAGAGGTAGAGACGATCTTCGCTTTTAACGATATGAAATCAGAAGAGCAGGCGTGGTTGTTTTATACTCAACGTTATTCCATTTTTACCCTTTTCATTTTCCCAAAACTCCTCATTCAGTGGCGTAACAAGAGGAGGGTAAATATGTAATGTGATTTCCGACCGAAATCCATGTCAACTTAAATGAAATTACAGAAATGGACTGGACTTTTATTCTCTACGCGGTTCTTTTTAACGGCGAGGCAGAATATGATGTGGACTGCAATACCATGGACACCTTCCATGACGGTGTAGCCAACCCATTTTAGGCTTTTTAATTTTTTTCACTTAAGCTCCACTTACGGCTAGTTTAGATTCCATGGTGCTATGATATCTTAGTTTTTCAGAGTCATGTCAACGAAGCAAGATTGATTTCAATAAAATTAAAAATAATAATAATAATAAAATTATTTAATGTAATGATGATATTAAAATTTATGATAGAATAATATTTAAATAAAAAATAACGATGATGATAAGATAAATTATAATGAAAAAAATTATTATTAAGAATATTCATTAAATTATTAAAACCAAGATTAAGTTCTAATCATTAACATGTTTTATTTGGAGACTATTTTTTCAAATGGTTTTTGACAAGTTAGTCTCAAACATTGGACTTGGTTAGTGGTTTTGTTAATTTATCATTCAAGTGTTCTATACTTCTAAACTTATGAGTTCTTCAATATTTTGCATATTTTGACAAACTTTACCCCAAGTCTGAGATACCCTCTCACTCACTAGGGAAAAAGGGATGGAGTCTTATTATCATGTTAGTTGAGGTTAGCTTAGGTTAGGGTTCTAGAAAATTTGTTGGAAACTATTCTGGTTGAAGTAATGTTATAGAAATTGTTTTATGAACAATGATTTCCATGTGCATTTAGGTGATGGATCAATGACTAAGCATTGTTATTATTGCACAATTTTCTGGTGGGAGAGAGTATGAAAGGGAAATCTTCAAAACCAAGAATGGACTTGCTTGAGGACTCGGGCAAAAGTGTTTTGAGTGCAATTGAAGCCATTAGACTGGAAACCAAGGAATCAGAAAGAGAAAGGTCATGGTGATGATGATGGCTCATAATATGGACAAAAGGGTCATTAAAAACAATAATAAGTAATACTATAAGAAATAAAACTAAATGAAAATGAATAAAAAAAGATAAATGCTTTTTTTATTAAATAAAAAAGACCTAAATTAACCTATTAACCCAAACTGGCCCAAATCAACCCATTGCTGCCCAAAATACAAATCCAACCCAAAAGGACTCCATTGTAATTTTAAAGCTTTCAAGGGTATTTCCATAACTATGATTTGGGCATTCCCACCCACAACGGTTATTAATCAAAGCAAATCCCCTTCTATTTCTCTTTATCTCTTAATCCAACGGTCGATGAATAAAACCCAAATTTGTCAATAATTAATCTGCGACCCACAAATAACCCAAAAACTAGCCGTTACGCAGGGCGTCCCAAACCTGAAACGTTCTTTTTTTCTTCTTCTTCTTCTTTGATTTCTTCGTTTTCTTCTCATTCAATTCTTTCATCACTCCAAACTTTCTCTCACTTTCTTGGAATCCTCCAATTCTCAATTCTCATCAATCAAAAAGCAAAACCCATTTTTTATTTTCCATTTTTAGTCTATTTCTTGAAAGATTTCTTCCTTTTTATTTTCCCCAATGGAGGTTGCTAAGAATTCAAAACTTGGGACTCCTCTGAAAGACCCAGATGGGAATTCTCAATCAAAAACCCAAAAGGTTTCAAAACTTTCTGAGAATTCAAATCCAAATATCTCTCATTCAACTTCTCCATTAACAAAATCTTCAAAATCCCAGAAGTGTTCTTCCAAGAACCCAGTTGTTTATTCACCAAGAAACAAGCTTAGGGAAAGAAAGTTTGTGGTGGCTAAGAAGAACTTGAAGAAAGGAAGGTCTGATTCGAACCCATCGGTTGGGATTGATTGCATATGCAAAGAGAAGTTTGGTGGGAATTTGAAGAAGTGTCTGTGTGTTGCTTATGAGAATTTGAGAGCATCTCAAGAAGAATTTTTTAAGAACAACGAAGCTGAAGAGGAGGTTGAAGAGAAAGGTGTTTTGATCGAGAATCTCCGGGAAGGGTATGGATCAGATAATCAAGAGATTGATCAGATTGAAAACTCGAGTCAAACGGGTAATTTTACTGTTAAGAGAATGAGGGATAAGTTGATGGAAGAAGCAAGGAACAATGTGCCTAAATCTGGGAAAGTTTTGCATTTGGTTATGGCCTTTGAGAAGCTTCTTTCAATACCGAATTCAAAGGACTCAGAGAAGGAGGGAGATGGTGAAAAGGAACCAAAAGAGGAGAAGAATGATAATAACAAGAAGAAGCCAAAGAAATGGGCATTACCTGGATTGCAACCGCCAAAGGTGACTGAGGCTGACTCTGAGAATGAGGATGAGACTAAGGATTCTTCTTCTCCTTCATTCTGTCCATCAGATTTTGTTTTGACTCCTGAGAATCTTGGTTTGGATCCCCGTTTCTCAGTTTCTTCTTCCTGGGATAGCAGTCAAGGAAGGTCAGTGAAGCAACTGATTTATTAGTTGACTACCCGAAAATATAGTTGCACATCTTTATGTTCTCCAATTTGGTTTTTTTTTTTTTTTTTGTCCTTTGTTTGCAGTATTCCAAGCAGGATATCTAATGGAGGTAGAAGAAGCCGAAGAAATGTAAGTAACCATGCATTTAAGCTAATTTATTTTCACCGTTATTGTCATATCGAATGTTAAATGAGGTCTTTCCATTATTGAGTCTAATCTCTCATCCGTTGGGAAATAATCTTTGCTGTTGTAAGTAGTTGACATCATCTTCAGTTACTTGTCTTTTCTATGGCAACAAGACATTTTCAAGCCGCGCCTCGATTTTTTTAGGCCTCTAATCTGCAAAGCCATTTTTAACTTGTCACCTGTGGATGTTATGTTTATGTTTGCAGTAGGACTCAAGGATCAAAGGTCAAAGAGAAAAAATAACTTCTTAGGCCTCTTTTATATGGCAATAAGCCTTTTCAAGTGGCCATAATATAGATATATTTATACTTACAACATGGCTATAATATAGAGATTCACAGGTCATAAATGTGTTTATTTTCTGCTTTCTGGCTCATGACTTTGTATTTATGCTTGCATTTTAGAGTTCTGACTCTCTTGGGACAATTGGTTGGAGGAGAAAGAAAAAGCAGCTCAAACCCACTTCCCAAAAACCATTCAAGCTAAGAACCGAGGTACGTATATCATTTGCCTAGAGTTTCTTCTATTAACGGACCATGTATCTTATTTGCAGTTAATTTTCAATTAATTGTTACTGTTACAGCAAAGAGGTAAGGTGAAGGAAGAAGAATTCATGAAGAAGATCCAGGAAATGATGGTGGATGAAGAGAAGCAACGGATCCCAATTGCTCAAGGCCTCCCATGGACAACAGATGAACCGGAGGTAAGACCACTTTTATAAAGATTAAATAAATTGAAAAAATTAATTGTTACACGGTTCTTTCTCATCAATTCAACTCTGTCTTCTTCTGTTTTTGTTCATGTAGGTCTTGATCAAACCTCATGTTAAAGAGTACACAAGACCAACAGACCTGCGACTCCACAGTGATGTGCGAGCAGAGGAGCGCGCGGAGTTTGATCATCAGGTTCTTTTTATATAGTATTGCTTAATTGGTAGTATATGTTTTGGTGGTTATTGGTATTTTGAAGTGTTGTAATATGTGTAAATAAAATATAGATAGATTTGACTATATATTTGAGTTTATTTATTTTTTGTCAAATACATGTATAACATAAAAATTGTTATATCATAATTTATGTTTATTTTTTTGCTTTTGTCAAACTCATATGATTTTTGTTAAAATTTTAAAATGTATCCTTTTTTTTCATTGTTTTCATATGATATCACCATTTCATATTTAAAAATGCTAAGTCTATGTTGTTATACTAGTTCCTAACAAGATTTTGAACGAGACATTTTTATCATGCTTTAATTTGAGTGTCCAGGTAGCTGAGAAGATGAGTCTAATAGAGCAATATAAAATGGACAGGGAGAGACAACAAAAGGTAAATGATCTGAAAAATTCATGATTTACAGCAATTTTTTAAGCAAATGATCTAAAAAATTGGTCTCTTGCACTTGTAGATGGCAGAAGATGAAGAGATTAAGAGGCTGAGAAAAGAGCTAATTCCAAAAGCACAGCCTATGCCCTACTTTGACAGGCCTTTTATTCCTGGAAGGTAAAGATTTTTTACCTTGTTTTATCGTCAAAGTTCTCAGCCAATGGCATGATAAGTTCATTTTTGCTGTGTATTTATTTGCTTGCTGTGTGGTGGTGCATATCTTTAAGGTCCTCAAAGAATCCAACAATACCAAGAGAGCCAAAGTTCCACATTTCACAACATAAGAAGACAAAGTGCTGCAGCATATCATGGAATGACATGAGTACATACACTTTGCAAGGCAATGAAGCAAGAGAAGAAATAAAAGTTATGCAGTTCCTGTGAAGATTTGTTGTACATGAGCAACCAATTTAGTTGCAATTTTGCTTTTTCATTAGTGGAAGAACAATGGGTCTCGTTCTGTTTACTTCAATACCTGATATTTCATTATTCAATCTATATTTCAACTTTCTTTTGCCTCCACCATAGGTCCTCTGGAAAGCACCTAGCCCTAGCCCTAGACCAAGGCTTCCCCTTCAACTAGATCTCTATGTCCCCATGGAGGCAGCAGTCATTTAAATGTCCTACCAACCCCATTTTATCCACCACCCTTCATGAGGTGTTTGTGTATCCATGCAGATACACAGGCACGCACTGACACCAGTCAAACTTGTACAAGTTTGGGTTCCATTCCACTGCTTGCCCTAATCAATGTAATTATAAAGTGAAAATGTTAGGATCTTGGGGTTCATGTTATAAAGTGAAATGCTCATTTGGTTCATGCTCACCAGAAAACATCTAAAGAATTTAAGATTTAAATTTGCTTTTAATCCTTTCTTCTAACTTCCATCTCCTTTGTAATAAAATTATGTTAATAATGGTAAGCCATAAAAAAAGAATGTTAGGATCCAAGTGCCAGGTTAAGAGAACAGTCCAAAAAGCCTCCGAGTATTCTACGGCATATTTGAATAGGTGAGAGAGATTAATCTTCTAAAACGATGTAGTATTAGCAGTAGCAAGAATTAATCTTCTCTTTTCCCCCTTAACACGGTACCGTTTTACAACACTGAGCCTAAGCGCTCACTTACCCTAATAAACAACCACAGCAATCGCTTTCCGCTCTTTACTCCCCGAGTTCCCAATTTCCTACAAACGCTTAAAAATCCGCTGTCAAAGAAAAAGAATCTGAGTGAGAGACAAAATCATCAAAAATGGCGATCAAGCAGCTTCTCTCTCTAGCTCGCCGTTCCCACAAGCCTTCTTCTTCTTTCACCATCGCTCGATCGTCTTCTTCCGCCGCCTCTCCACTCGCCGCCACCGCCACTGCCGAATCTAAAGAGCTCTCCCCTCCTCCACCAACCGCCATGATCTACGACCGCTTAGCCCTTTCCGTTAAATCAAAGCTCCAAACACTCGAAAATACAGATCCACGTTTCGTCAAATACGGTTCCCCTCACCCAACCGTAACTTCCCACACCCACATTCTATCTTCCCCCGAAACCAAAATCACAACTTTGGCCAACGGCCTTCGTGTCGCCACTGAATCTACTCTATCTTCCCACACGGCCACGGTTGGGGTCTGGATCGATGCAGGGTCGAGATTTGAGACCGAGGAGACGAATGGGACGGCGCATTTCTTGGAGCATATGATATTTAAAGGGACGGAGAAGAGGTCTGCGAGGGAATTGGAAGAAGAGATTGAGAATATGGGAGGGCATTTGAATGCTTATACTTCGAGAGAACAGACAACTTATTACGCGAAAGTTATGGATAAGGATGTCTTTAAAGCGTTGGATATATTGGCTGATATTTTGCAGAATTCGAAGTTTGAGGAACATAGAATTAGTAGGGAAAGGGATGTGATTCTAAGGGAAATGGAGGAGGTAATTAAAAAGTTTAGACCTTTTGAGATTTTAAATGGGTTTGGATTATTTATGTTTCTTTTTATTGATTTTGAATTTACTGTCTCTGTTTAAGGTCATTTTAGAGGGAATTGGAATTGGGTTATTTGTGTTTGTGCTTGGCATGTTGGAGGTAAATAAGTGGAGTAGTTAAATTAATGGGGTTGGATTTAAAAATGTCAGCTTTGTGGAATATATATGATCTTTAGGAAATGTAAAGTTTGACGAAAATAGGATTAGTATGATTTTATTGGAAATGGAGGATATAATTAAATGTTTAGATTCTTTTGAATTTTTTTTTTATTTTTTTAGTATGGGTTCAGGCTGACTTGTGATTGATTCATTTATAACGTATTCTATCTGTTTTAGCCTTTTAGGGAATATAGGAGGTAATATGAATTGGGTTATATGGAGGAGATATTTTTTTTTCTGGATTTTGATGTGCGTATTTAATATGTTGTTAACTGGCTTTGGATGATAATATGTGTTTTCTTGATTGATTTAGAATGGTAACTATCTGTTATTGGGAAGAGAGGGGATAATCGGGTTGTTTGAGTGTTTGCTTGGTGTATAGGATTGATATGGAAAGGAATGTGATCTTAAGGGAAATGGTGTAGGTAAAAAGTTTAGATTGATGCCTTTTATGAACGGCTTGAGAATTGTGATGGTAAAAGTGATAGTAAAAATGTTAATTTATTTGTTTAAAATAATTTACTTCTGTTTTACTAACAGGTGAAGGTACTTAGCTTCTGAGGAAGAGTTGTTTCCTTTGTTTGATGCATTTGGCAATAACTGGGGTATTATTGTCTATATGTGCTGTGTAGGAAGTTGTGGGGTTAGAAACAGGTTTGCATCAACTATTTGGTTGTAATCAAAATTGCTGTGTTTTTTATGCAGAGCAATGATATGTTTAGTATATTTCTCCTGGTTGGCTTCTTTTTTGGTGGGTAGGCTCAGTGGGCTGTTAAATGACCTATTGTCAAGCCTCATAAGGATGTTTGTTATCATTATTTTCTATATAGATATTGTTGTTTTGGTTTTGCCAAATGCTTTTCATCTTTGTTCTCAGTTGATTTTATTCATAAAAAAAGTTATTATCTTGGGGAATTTTGTAGGTTGAGGGTCAAACAGAGGAAGTTATTTTCGACCATTTGCATTCAACTGCTTTCCAATACACTCCTCTTGGTAGAACTATTCTGGGACCTGCTGATAATATTAAGACAATCACCAAAGAGCATCTTCAGAACTATATTCAGACACATTACACTGCTCCTAGAATGGTATGCAAAACACTACTTAGCTTTTCTTGTGTATCTTCATTTAATTTGATATGACCAAGTCCTTAAAACTGGTGAATATTTTGTTTTTCCGTTGATATCCTAGCATATAATGTAAGGTGCTTTGTGCAAAACTTCTTGTATATAGGTTCTTATAAATGTGAGTTATTTGGTAACTTTTACAGGTGATTGCTGCATCTGGAGCTGTTAAGCATGAGGAAATTGTTGAGCAAGCAAAGAAGTTGTTTACCAAGTTGTCAGCTGATCCAATCACTGCTACTCAGTTAGTTGCAAAAGAACCAGCCACTTTTACTGGTTCTGAGGTGTGGGTGCCATTACTTTAATAAATTTTAAAATTTTTTATTCGGTAATATTCACTTTCAATGTCTTATGCCTTCCAAGGTTTTTATTTTTTAATTTTGAAAAAATCAGGTTAGAATGATCAATGATGATGCTCCTCTAGCTCAATTTGCGGTTGCTTTTGAGGGAGCATCTTGGACAGATCCAGATTCCATTGCACTAATGGTTATGCAGGCGATGTTGGGTTCATGGAGCAAAAATATTGGGGGTGGAAAACACATGGGGTGAGCTTTTTCCTCATGTTGAAATCACATCTTATACTGAACTCTGCTTTGGCAGTCTCAGAAGGAAACTCTTCTATGTCTTGATTAATTTTGAAAATCCTTCAAACAGCTCTGAGCTGGCACAAAGAGTTGGCATCAATGAAATTGCAGAAAGCATGATGGCTTTCAACACCAACTATAAAGATACTGGTCTTTTCGGTGTCTATGCTGTTGCCAAGGTGAGGTTGCTGCCTGTTCTGTAAGTTTTTTTATGATCTGAAAGCTGATGAAAAAAAAATCGATTCCTACTAGTTATGATTGACAATTTTTTGGCTATAAATTTGTCATATTCTTTGATATCATCATACATATTTTTAATTCTTTGTCTGGTTGTTGCCTCCCCCTCCACCCGCATATGATGGTTTAACTAAATTGTTATGCATTGTGATCCAACAGTGTTTGCCTATATGCTTTTCTATTTGTGTATTTTTTTCTTTTCATTTTATTCTACCTTTTATTTTATGATGGAATATTAAGTTTTATGTACTGTTTTCAGCCTGATTGTTTGGATGACTTGGCATATGCTATTATGTATGAGACAACCAAGCTAGCTTATCGTGTTTCAGAAGCTGATGTGATTCGTGCTTGTAATCAGGTAGCTAAAAATGCTGCTATCTTTTCTTCATGTTTGATAGATACTAAGTTTGACATTTTGTATTGTTTTAAGAACTTCTAGCAGTGTGCCAATGGTACAAAACCAGTTGCCAATAGGTGATTTTGGCATTCTACTCTTAATAATTTGAGCTGAATCTAATGCACCAGGGAATGCTGATGTTGTTTAAAGCGCTCATTATTTGTTATATAGATTTGTTAGAATTTTGAAATAGTTCATTATTTTTTGTTTCTTGACTTTATCATTCATTTTATGGTGCAATTCTAGTGAAACTCTACCCTTTCAATGGAAATCAATGCAACAAAGTTTTTCTTGTTCTTAGTTAAAATATCACTATGATGCCTGTCCTAGCTGATATCTTTTTATACTTTCATGTTTCTTTTCATCCTCTCTCACTCTGTAACACACTCTTGCATGTTAACACTCACAGAGATGGAAATCAAGGCCTGTGCCCTAGAAATAGTGAATGTCTTGTTTCTCCTGTAAGTGACTTGTCAATCTATCTTGCCATGGGCTTAATTACTATTGCACTTTCTTGTTGCAGTTAAAGTCATCCTTGATGCTTCACATCGATGGAACTAGTCCGGTTGCTGAAGATATTGGGCGCCAGGTACAAGCGTTTCCACATTAGAAGGGTTTTTAAGTCCAGTGGTGCATGGGAGCAATCATATCTTTTGAATCAGCACATAAGCCGTTTATAAGCAAACAAACAAAGATTATTTTGGTCATCCAGAATTGTATGATCTTAAGATTGGACTTTTGTCATGCTTCCTGCTGCGCAACATATACATGTACCATCTTTTATTACTCAGTTCAATTACTTGTTGGTATTGATCTCCTTGCAGCTACTTACATACGGTAGGAGAATCCCATTTGCTGAATTATTTGCTAGGATTGATGCTGTTGACCCAAGCACCATTAAACGAGTAGCAAACCGATTTATTTATGACAAGGTAGGAACTGCAATTGAACCTAGCACTTTCAACTCTCTCCTTCTTGCTGCTTCAGCTAAATGGGTTCAGGCTAATGAAATTTGGTGTGATGAGACATTGAAATTGGTGGATATAACTTTTTATTGCTGTTTTGCAGGATATCGCAATTGCCGCCATGGGCCCCATCCAGGGTTTGCCCGACTACAACTGGTTCAGACGCAGGACCTACTGGAACCGTTATTAGGTTATTTTACTCTACTTTGTCAATGGATCATCACCTTGCTTAGGCAATCACAAAAACTTTTTGGCACTTTTACACAACCAAAGTTTCTGGAAACACCCAAGGTTTTCATTTCTATTCATTTTGTAGGGTTCTTGGTTCTGTATCTTTATTGTTATTCTGCAATAAGCAGGCTGTCTGCAGTGTCTCTGCTGATAATCACCAGAAATTATTTTGTTAAATGATGCCGATAATGTTAATAATGTTGAGTTGCATTTGTATCTTTGGATCTTAGCTCTAAATGGTATTTATGTTTGAGCTGAAAACACCGGGTGTCACTTAACAAAATTATAATCATTAATTCTATAGTTAAAATTTCCATCGTGTCCTCTCATTACTAAAATCAAATGGTTAATATGATTATAGTTAAAAAATTTGACATTTAACAAATTTCAATACTTAAAAACTAAATTTTTACTTTTAAATTAACTTATTTTCTACCGAAAATTGAAAATTCAAACTTTCTTTTATCAAAATTTAAGAAATTATGGAAAATAGTAAAAAAATTTTGGAGGGAAATCCCCCTGTTTCTCTCTTTAAAAAAATGAAAAAAAGAAGACAGGCGGCGTGTTGAGTTGTGTGGGGGACCTGAATGTAGTTGAGATTAGTTAAAACCACGACATTCATCCCTTTCCCGTTTCCTTTCTCTCTTCTCTTCTTCGTAACTACAGAACCCCCAAAAACAAAAATAAATACTCTTATTATAGCTCTTATTTCTTCATTATAAACCCACTTTTTTTTCTTCCTTGTCTTTTTTAGGTTGTTTCTTCTTTTGAATTGCCTCAGATTTCTCTCCCCATTTCTTGATTCTCATCGCCCACATTTTCTTTCTTCTTCTTCTTCTTCTTCTTTATAGATATATATATATATATATATATATATAAAGCTAAAACCAGTTCTGGGTTTGCTAACTGGTTTTAGCTTTAAATCGCAATCAAAATGGCTTCTTCCATCTCTGTTCCATGCCCCAAGATCTTTTCTTTTTTAAAAACAAAGCAGCAAAGCCAAACTCAAAACATCTCTTTGGCTCTTGCTCAAAGTTCAAAGTCCAGCCCCAAATCTTGCTTGTCATTTGGATCTTCTGTCCGGGTACCTGCATTTTCAGGACGTCAGGTTAGTTTCAAGCTTTTTCTTTCTTTTCTGTTCTTTAATCCTTTAAAGTCTGAATCTTTATGTTTTGTTTGAAACAGAGTGGCATTTGGGTTGATGGGCTTTTGAATATATGGTTAATGATTGTAGTTAGAGATCTGTTTTTGTTTCTTGGGATTTAGTTGCAACGATGCATGGAAAGTGCCCCCAAAATTTCAACTTATCAATATGTCGAGTGTTTTAAGATTGACATTAGTTTTTTTTTTTTTTTTTATTTGTTCAGTATTGATAAATAATATGTTTGATGTATTGCTCATATGAGAATGGCAATTCATATTCTGATTTTTTTCTCCTTATAGTGACCAGTTTGAAGGCTTGTATCCAACATGTGTTTTGACTAAAATCGTGACATATCATACATGGGTTTCTTCTATGCAATATGTAGCGACAACTGTTTGTTTGGTAAAATGTTTAATTTGCTGTTTGCATCCTTATCTGGTTGTCATTTGCAGTGGCCTAATGGGAGGCAAACTACTATCTTCAAGAGCCATGTGCAGCTTAATGAGGTGCGTTTTTAACTGTGCAATTGATTCATCTTTAGAAAGAGCTCTTATCGATGTCTACTAAAACAACTTTGGAAAATTCAGATTGCTATAGAGAAATCCTCAAATTCTGTACCAGTAGTTGACACAGAACCTAAAGTTGAATTGCCCAAGGAAGATGATAAATCCATGGAGAACACTATTCCAGATGTTGCAGCAATCTCAGCATTCATGGCACAAGTATCAGACCTTGTTAAGTAAGTTGAGCATCTTCTTATTTGTGAGTACACTTGCATGATAGATGTGTGCATTACAAGAAGCATCAGTTTCATAATCAATGTTGATGTTATCTTTGATGAGCAGACTTGTTGATACAAAAGATATTACTGAGCTGCAACTGAAGCAGTCAGATTTTGAGCTTGTAATAAGAAAGAAGGAAGCTTTGCAGCAGCCAGAACAAGCACCTTCCATTGTCATGCCACAACACATGCCTCATGCAATGTTTCAAACTCCATATCCAGCAGCTCCAGTAGCAGCCCCTGCTCCTGCAAGCCCAGCCCCTTCAGCACCAGCACCCTCATCTCCCCCTGCTAAAACAGGCAAATCATCTCATCCTTCCTTCAAATGCCCCATGGCTGGAACCTTCTATAGGAGTCCTGCACCAGGTGAACTACCTTTTGTCAAGGCAAGTACCTGTGGCTTTCTGTTAATTGCCTACCGGTTAAGAGCTTCTTTTCCAACAGAGCAGGAAAAGTTAATCATAATTAGTCTGAATGTTTTATTCAATGAAAATATTCATTTGAACAAAGATTCTAAACAATTCTTTCGATGGTCTTTTAGGTGGGAGATAAAGTACAGAAAGGTCAAGTAGTCTGCATCATTGAAGCTATGAAACTGATGAATGAAATTGAAGTATGTTCATGCTCTTATTTCTTACTTGATTCAGTATTCCCCTTGAATTCTGACATTTTACTCGGAGATTATTTTGAGAATTATAAAATAATCATGCAGATGATTCCGATATTTTAATACATAATTGCTTACCAATTTTTTAAAGTTAAATATTGCCAATAAGTTTTCTTGTTAGTGTTCTTAACTTCTCTAATTTCTTATGTTTTTTCATTCGAATTATTGGTCTCTCAGGCCGACCAATCTGGAACCATAACCGAGATATTGGTAGAGGATGGAAAACCAGTTAGTGTAGACATGGTAATCTCTTTTTCTCTCTCTCTCTCTCTGTATCATATTCAATAATATTTGCTTCACTGTTTGTCTGAATCCTCCGTATTTGTGACTCTGCAGCCTCTATTTGTGATTGTGCCTTGAATATAACTTGGCAAAGGAACTGTTTCAAGCTTTGGAATAGACAATGGTTTGGCTTAATTTTTGGTTTACTCTGTAATTTTTAAACTAATAATGGTTCCGTTTCTGCTGTTGGGAATTTATATAACCATGTTTGATATACTCAGTACAAGGCAGAAAGACTTTTGTAGGGGATTCGACAGTTTGTCTGTGTTTAGTTTTGAAAGTTTAGCTAATATAAATTCATTCTCTTTTTGTCTTTCTCAACTTATTCTGTTTCTTTTATTCCACTCATTCATTGCTTCCCAATTAAGTAGAGATTTTTTTTTTTTCAAAGGAGACATGCCCTGGAGATAGAGGAAATGGTTATGTATTTAGATTCCAACTTAAGACTTATTGGATGCTACATGAACTAACATAGTAAAGTACCAAGTTCAAAAGTGTCTTCTTTTGGGGTAAATATATATATATATATATGAAACATGGTACAGATGTTGAGATAAAAGAAGGATAAAAGAAGGATTTTTCTCATTTTCATTTGATGCTAATTGCATCCAAGATGAAATTTTTAAACATAATATAATAATATAATGCAAAAAAAGATATTATTTAAAATTTTAACAATAAATTTGATAAAAAAATATATTTTGTATTTAACATATCAACTTAAATTATGATAATTACTTTTAAATAATTTTCGTATTATTTTCATCTTTTGATAAAATATATGAATTATTAAATCAAAATTGAAATTTTTTTACTTACTTTTAAGAATAAGATTCCGTTTATACAACTGTAATTTTTATTATTTTTTTGTAATTTTTAAGTTAAAAATTAAATTTATAACTCATTTAAATTAAAATAATATTTTAAAATTTAATAATTTTGATTCAAAATTTTAAAATTACACTAGTACAAGTGAATATCTCTTTTACTTTTAATTATTGTGATTTTTAATTTTTTTTAATTAAACCTGTAAAAATCAATCATAATTACCTTTTTTGGACTTTTGAAAACTTTTTAGAACATCATTTGCACGTGTGTAAGATCCAATCATACGTCCATTCCTTTATTTAATAGCTTTCGAAAACTCTTTTTGCATGTGTCAGATCTAACCGTTAATCCGAACCAAATAAAAGTCAGCATTCTCCTAGGTTTAAAAAAAAAATTTTAATACAAAATGGTCACTAAAAAAAAAAAACCATTAATCATCTTATTTACGTATCATTAATATTTAATAAAATCATGATATGTAACATAAATATCCGAGTATCAATTTATTATCTATTTTTCACATTAACATTTAAATAAAAATTTCAAAATTTATAAAAAATGTTTATCAATTCAAAATTTTAAAAGATAATAATAAAAAACGAAAGCAAAAGAATCAGATATAAAAAATATTTTTTCTGACATGATAATATTTAACGTGATTAGACATTTATGACATGATATAATTTTATCAAATATTCATATTACTTCAATTATAATAATAATGTGAAATATCAAAGTATTTCATAAAATTAAAATTAAAATATCAAAATAATAATTTTATTTTTATATATATTAAACTAATAAAAAATATATATAATACATTAGACATTTTACATAATAACCAAAAAAAAATCAAATATAACACCCTACCAGAGAAGAATATAACACAATTTTGCTGATTTTACAAGATCCAACAAAATGATTTCAGACACCGCAGAGAAAAAAAAAAAAAAGCCTATTTCATTACAAATCTTGTTGCCATGCCAGCAAAAATCAGATCTAAAAATAGCAAGTGGTTAACTCTCAATAAAAGAAAGAATTTACCGTAGAGAGCCCAATCAAAAACTACAAAAGGAAACAGCTAAAAAAAAAAACAAAAACAAAAGAAACCAATCCTCCCTATCAGGGCAAGCAATTTACTATACCCTTGCTGCTTTCCAAATCTCCCAATCCATTTTTGCTATTAACCTATCCTATTTCTATTCTTGTCCTTCAATGTAAATATACATGTTAGCCTACCTGTCATTATATTTACATCTACCATCGTTGCCGACTGCCCCTGCCACTGTAACTTTTCCTTCCACTATTACTCACCCTCCGAGCACTGCCTGTCCAGTCTTCATCATCATAATCATCATCCTCATCCCCACCAGTCATGCGACCGGCTTTCCCTCCTCTTCTGGGATTTGGGCGTTTCTTTTTGATATTTGCTGTGAAAGTTGAGTAATCGATAGTATCTTCCCTCAAAGCATTTTTGTATTCCTTTACAACATAAGAGCAAAGAATTAATGTCCAAGATAGGATTCTGTAGTAAATGAAATTGAACTTCAATATTCTCATCTTTTAAGGGAGACTCCTAAAATGTTCCAATTACCTGATATCTCTGCACCATATCTCGATTTGTGGAAGGCAAGGTCCTGTGTGTTTCACTGACGTCAAAGGGAAGATTCTGCCTCGAGAGAACATCCCCAGATTTTATAGGTTCATTTGGAGAAAATGCCTAGTTATACAAAATAAGGTTCTCAATTAAAGTGTGTTTCATATTTGCATTTAGAGGGAAAATGCCTCATAATGCAAAAAATGATGGCAAAAGCATAATTTTAACCTGGCATCTTTGATCATTCAGGCTATAAACAATTTTTAGGTGTCTTTTAAGCTTCATAAGAAGCTGTAGTGCAGTAGCAGCAAGACAGTCGGCCTGGAATCGCACCAAAGAGGAAGATGTCAAAAGTATTACAGCTAACCAGTAAACATCCAATAGATTAAAACAAATGCTTGAAGCAGTTAAAGAAAATGCCATTTTTTCCCTCAAGCAATGCATATAAACGTCCATACAAAATGTGTTTATCCAAAAAATCAAAAGCAATCAATCCAAGGAATAGAAGAGTGGGGTTTACAGGGTTCTAAAGTACCTGGATTTTTTGCATTTCCTCTTCAGAGACAGCATGAGTTTCAGAAGGGCTCATCTTATGCATTGTCTCCATTGCAGGAGGATAATGCGAAATAGACTGATGAGTGAGTTTTTGTTGGATTGTACCATTCAAATCAACGGATGTCATGTGATGGAAAGCAGGCTGAAACACAGGCTCCTGATTTGCTCCATTCAAATCTACCGTAGCCATATAATTAAAAACTGCTTGATTGGGATCCAGCTGAACTATCCCATTACCATGAGTTGTCTTCTGAGTATCTGTTTGCAGCAAATTTAAACTCAAGGCCTTCATATTTGCCTCAAGTGACCCCGCCCTGACTTGTAGCACTCTATTTATAGCATAGATCAAATAAAGTGGTTCATCAGGAGATGAAAATGGTAACAAAGCAAGAGTTTCGGTACAATACCTGTAAAAAGAAACCAACTTCTCAGTATAATTACTCAAGTGAGGTAGAAAATGTTAGAATTGGCATCGAGAAACTCACATCAAGAAAGGTATAACTGAATCATTCCAGCTAGGATTATCAAATTTACGCACAATTGAGGACATAAATTTGTTCCTAGCAACCCGATTTCCACGGATGAGCTTGTAAATTCTGGAAACTCCCAGCCTTGCTTGCGTTAAAGACATAGGATCAGGTTTCCCTTTCACAGTTCCAGGAAACTTGGATTGGGATTTTTCATTTAGATTTTCCCGTGCATTGCTGCTAATGGAACGCATGAAGATAAATGACATCTGAAGCCCATCACCTAGACGGCTTTCAAAAAAAGCAGGATATCTGAAAAATGAAGCTTTTATTAGTTGTGCTAAGCAAAAGGAAAGAACATAGAAAACTTTAATAGCACAAGGGAATTACTTCTCATTCATATTCATTAGCAAATGATGAGCCAACTTTTGGTTGACCTCCAGAGGATCCGTTTCAAGTGCTATAAGGTATGGGACACAAGTTATAGGATGAACAAGACCTTGACGAAGCACTACTTCCACTATCTGCATAAATAACATATCAAGAAAATGATAAGTTCAAGCGGACGATAATAACAATGAAAACAGTAGCATGTAAAGTCAAACACAAAAAATTCAACCATCTGATAGATAGATAGAGAATCATATGTGCAGATTACAACAATAGTCTGATAATAGAATTGGAATCGTAAAGTTCTCAAGGCACCAATTTTTCATTTCCTTTCCAAAGTCAACTTTCTATCCAAATTGTAGATTTAAGACTCTACGCTATAAAATAATGATCACAAATATTTTTAAAAATTTCTAGCTTAGAACAAAATGCCCACCATAATTGACTTTAACTTTTACATTATTCCCTCCCCTGATATTATGGTCCGATTCAGCCCAGAGTAACAAAATTGCTTCCTCCAACAGAATACAGCAAAGGTAAATAATTCTCACCTTTAGGGCAGATTGGCGAACTTCTTCATCAAAGTCCAAGCATCTCCCCAGAATATTATACCAGTACAGTTGGACAATACCCCCACAAATGTTAGTATCACCAGCACCCGCAGCTACGGGGACGCTATGGCCACCTTCTACAGAATAATGAACTGCTTTATTGGTTCCCATTTGACTTTCCGCATCAAGAAGATATTCCAACAAATTTTGTAACGCTTGCATCTGGTGGACAGAATTGGTTAGTATTCATCAAGTAGAATGATAATTGTAAATAGAGATATTAAGTGACAAGGGGCAATTTCACCTTAAGGCGAACATTAGAACTCGGTGCTAATGCTGCCTCAATTATCTTTCCAATGTCTTTCTCCAACATATATTCAGGCCTAGCAATTAGTGCATAGCCTAATGCCTAAAAGGAGAATCCATGGAAAAAAAAGAATATGTTATAATATTAAAATATGCTAATTGGGAAACAGAAGCGAACTCCAGGATAGCTTAATAGAGAAGAATGAAACTTACCTGCAAAGATCTAACCTTTATGCTAAAATCATCCATTAGAAGATATTTTTTAAACAAACTAAAACTGCTAGCAATATCAATATTTTTGTTACTGGAACCATTAAACAAAGAGTTTCCATAGCGGATAAGCAATCCAAGACAAAACAGAGAACGCCCCACATGCTGCAAAAAAAAGACAATAATAATAAATAAAGGAGTTGACTTAAACTTTATGATTCACATATAAAGTTTTCTCATATAAATAACAATGATACCAGGTGTTTAGTTTCTTAGTCCTATAAATACGGATATCTTGCCAACACAATTTTTTATCAATAGGATTGCAGATGGCGGATTAATGAAAGAAAGGGAAAGAGCAAGAAGTTTCGAATTTTCAACATCTCCCCCTTGGTTTTATTTTTCATTTCTGTACTCTGGAAGCTGGCCTCTAAATTTAATCATGCTAAGAATATAAATTAATTTTCTGATACATCATCCGGAATTTGAAATCAGGAATTATCATTTTTATTGCTTGTGTTGCACCTAACACAAACCAAATATATGCATCAGACTAGCCAAAAGATTGCAGGTGGAAATAACAATATTAAGTACAGATTTCTAGCAATGAACCTGCTTTTTATCAGTCACTTGGGAATCCAAAAATTTGAAGAATAACTGAATAAGATACTCAACAACAGTACCACCATTCCCAGCCTTTTGACTCACAGAACAAAGACACCTGCAACAAGAAATAAACAAAAATGAGGCAAATGAAAGAAGAATTAGAAGACTTTCTAAGCAGTAACACCTGCCTTTTTACTCATAGTGTAGCTTAGAATCACATTACAGGCGGACAAAAACTCAAACAAAAAATAAATTCAGGCTTTTGGCAGAAGTAGGAACTTAAACCTCAACAAATAACTGGAATTACAGCAAAACTAAAGACAGTGAGAGAGAGAAACTGAAGATACTTGATGCAAGCATGGACAACGGATAAAAAAGAATGTCGGACGATCATGTGCTTCAAGTCTTGTTTTAGTTCTTCGATAACATTAGGAGGCAACTTTCGCATCAAAGGCATAACAGCATCAATTATAAAGATTATACTCTCCAGTAACTGTGCAACAACTCTGTTATCAAGCTGAACACAAGTAAAAGCAAATCAGGCATAGCATCCACAACCTAAAAACAATTGGATTATAGTAGTGAAGAAAATGTTCAAAAACAAACTTTTGAAAGTAATCAATGAATATAGAGGAAATTGAAGAAACTAGCTTTTCCAACCTCTCACAACAAGAAGTTGGGCCAATAATAAAACCATTAGACAGACAAATCCCAAGAGTATTAGTAGAAAGAGCAACGCATTGGTGCAGTCCAGAGACAAAAGAATTTTAAACTCAATGCAATTAAATAGCATAGAATAGTCTATTTTTTCAAAATTAATTTTGGCAGCCCGGCACAATTAGATCTATCTAAAGCAGGTATCGGAAATGTTGGCTGTTCAAATGAACAGAGCCAGACTACAAACCCACAGATTATAATCACTTCAATGTACGAATACCCAGAAAGGTAATAGAGCCAAAAGATATCTGATTATTTCAATATCATACAAAAAAAAATTATAAAATGAACTGTAAATAACCTGATTCTTAAGATAAGGCTGTAGTGTGATCACAAATTGTGAAGGATCAGAAGCTGGCATGCAGAGTGATGGGTCCACAATACAAAATGCATGCAAGGCCAACACATAGGGAAGTGTAGGAACTTCTGCTTCCACATTACTCATTTCCTCCGTTTGCAATATTCTTTCCAGTAAGCACTTGCACATCACTTCACATCGCCTACGTACTGCAGCAAGTGAGACACGGTTGATTCCAGCAGCTTTTGCTGATTGAGGGAAAAAATCAAGGGCCAAGTTACGCTTAATGACAGTTACAAAAAACTGATTATTAGGCAACTGTCTTAGCATTTCAACAATCTGCTCGGTCTTCTTAGCCACCTCCAATGGAACGTAGCTACCATCTCCAGGATACTGTGTCTGCACTCCAGAAGGTTCTTCAAACCAGAACTCATAAAATGTCTTACAAACAAGATCCTGATGACAAGAGAAAAATAAAATATTAAGAAAGAATACCAGCAGAGCAACAGTTTCTATATGAAAATACATATATTACACAAAAAAGTCAATGCTACTTCATGAAGTTAGAACAAAAAACAAACATAAGACTAATAGTTTGCATCACCTAGGTTTTAGGTATCCACAGTAAACTTTAAACACCCAAGAAAAAGTTTTTTTTAATATACAATACTAAGGAAAAAAACTCTTGGACAACATCATTCCAGATGCCTCAGTCTAATATTCAGAAAGAAGAAAAAAATAAAAACTCTAAATTCATTGAGGGAAAAAATCAAGGGCCAAGTTACACCACAAAGACATTGGCATCAGTGCCTCAGTTTCAACATTAAATGCATGTTTCATTGATTCCAAATTACCTGAATGCTTGATTCATCATCACTAACACGAGAAATTATCTCAAAGCAAGCACTTGTAAACCCTGAGAAGTTAGGATTCGTATTGCACATATCTCGAATAATTTTGATTGCTCGTTTCCGAACACTGACTCCAGTATCTTTAATCCTCTCTGCCACCTTCTCAAAGTACTAATCACCACCATGTTTTTTGGAGAAGAGAAAGGGGGCAAAGAAAAATGAAAAAAATAGGTGTTGTCAACAAAGCATGACCTGCTTTCATAAGATGGACAAGTGAAGTTTAAGTACAAGTACCTTTAAACCAACATCTGGATGTGAAGCAATATGTCTGCCAACTAGTTCCAATGCGGCTTCTCTGACAGATATTGCAGAGTCACAAAACCTTCCCTCAACAGCCACTTGAACACGTTTGTCACCTAATACCTCTGGATCAGCTTCGACGATAATACTAACCTGCCATCATCATACACATAGGAAAACTTGTTTTATAAACATAAATGAGAAATGAATATCCTCGTTCCAAATAAGAGTAGTGGCAAGTTGCAAGAATTTTTTCACTTACAGCTTTTAAAGCCTTAGCCCTAATTACAGGAGAGTTCTCTCTTAAGCTAACCTGGAAAGAAAACATGCAATAAGAACAAAGCCTGTCTTACCTATTAAATCAAGGACTTGCAAAATGTTTTACCAACCAGAAGCAAGCAAAGAATCTTGTCAAATCCTCTAGAGAAAGAATTATTTTGTCCCAGCACTAAAGCAATCTTCTTGACTGAATCCCTTATCAACAGTGAAGAAACAGTCCCTGAGTCACGCACTATTGCCTTTGATCTCAGTCTAGCAAGGTAGTACCTGAAATTTTGTTCAGGTTTGGGGCCATCCTTGTACCACAAGCAAAGATAGCACCTGCACGCAAAAACATAAATTTAAACAAAAAGAAAAACAATTAGGAAGAGCTAATTTGAGTTTTTATTTTCACATGCATAACAATTAGGAAAGAGCTTTTTGAAGTACACACCATCGAACAAAGAGATGGATATCATCAGAAGAAGAGGCATCTTGAAGATAATTCAAAAGCATCTGCTGAACAATTTCAACTTTCATAATTGGATCAGAAGATTTGGAACTTTCTGAGCTACCATGTTTCTTGTTCTTGTCATCCTTGTACTGTGATTGACAGTATGATTGCAACACAAGAAGTTGCTTCTTACAGATGCAAAACTGGCAGTACCAACTATGATTAGGAATTTCTTGTTCTCTTACCCCCATACAATCAGCATGGACAAATCTTTGACAACCTTGACAACTATAGAGCACTTTCTCTACCTTTCCATCCAAACAAATTGAACATGCACCCTTTGGGTAACTTTGATCAACATTATCCCCACTAAGCAATTCTTCTGATATCCAGAACTTGTCCTTCCTATGGACAAGAGCGTCATGCTTCAACCTGGCTGCTATTGTGCCAAGAAGATCAATGGCCATTGCACGTGCAGAGATGTCCTTAGATTTCAGACCGGCATTTTGGAGCAGCAACACACAAAGAACCTGCAAATGATAGTTCATTAGTTTTGAAACACTATGAGCTTTATCCAAAAATAATAATGATGAAATAAATAGTCAGTCTTGTCACCTCCAAAGCAGGAGCTGCAGCAGGATATTCTGGTAGATTCAATGTTGTTAGTAAATCAGTGACTAGATTCTCAATCATCACTTTCAACTCAGAGGCATCATGAGTCTTGACAGAAGCAAGGCGTTGAAGGAGACGGGTCCAGAAATGACAACATGTTTCCTGGACAGATTCATGGCATTTGGTTAAATAACCAGCATCAACTGAGACTTCCAAGCTTGGACTCCCCCTGGATGTTGGCTTTAAAGCTTCAGGAAGGTTAGCACTGCTATGAACCAATTGAATCAGCAAAGCTGTAACCATCTGGATCTGCCTCTGTTCTTCGTCAGGTAGGTGATATGCTCTTACTGCTCGCTTCGAAAACGGCAACTTCCATAGCAGTTGAACCATTTCATCTATTACATATGTTCTATGTTGGGTGTATGAGTAGAATATCTGTATCAGCAATATCAAAGATTCAGATTAAAGTACAATATCTTATTATGCATTTAATCATGTATATCCATTCTACAGCAAATTAAACATATGGATCCATACCCCAGTTATCAAACCAATTGCTTTGAGTTGCAAGAGCTGTATGTTATCAACCAAAAAAGTAGCAAAGCTTGTCTTCAGCAGTTGTAGAACACAACTATCAGATAACTTCTCAATCAACAACAAGTCCTTGAGTAAAGCAAGAATAGTGCAGAGTTTTTGTAGTACAGCATTCACAGCACCAGAGACCCTATCAAAGAAAAAGTTAAACAATAGGAACACAGCTAATTTCTGCTATGCTAAATAGTTTGCCATAATATTCAATGTAAGGAAACTGCATATGGATAAGCACACTTGTTCAATGCTGATTTCTTCATTTTAACACTCTTGGTACTACGTCGTTTCTTGCTAGCAGAACCTAGTCCAGCTTCAGGCTCTTCATCTTCATCATCTAGAAAAATGACATAAAAATTAAGCAGTTCAGTATCATAAAACTAACATAATATTTGTGCAACCATTTGATTGAAAGTGATAAACCTAGGGCATGGATTAGACAAAGACACTGTTAAGTTCAAAGAAAATGAAGACAATATGAACTTTTAACATGCTGACACATTTATAGACACCAATGAATACAATTTTGTCATTGGAAAGAAGTACCAAAAAAACAAAGGTCCAGCTTTTTTGGCATAAAGCAGATGGCTAACCTTCAACTGCTCCATTTTCACCTGGTTTATGCAAGACACGATATGATGGATCATAAGTTGACATAACGTCCATTATCTGATGCCTAGAGAACTCTAAAATCCTTTCAATGATCTGTTGGGAACACAGAGAATCCATAATCCATGTTACAATGACCAAAAATAAAAGACAAACAATATAAGAACTAAATGAAATGCACACCAGCACAGATAATAGAACCACTAAATTTAACAAGAGAAGATGAGGCAAGCAAAATGCAACAGTGGTCCACAACCTTTAAAAAGTTTAATTTTGATCTCTAACCTCTCAATTGTTTTATTTAAATCCCAAACACATAAATAATTCGATCAAAATAGACTGAACGTGCTTAGATGACAACCACCTTTTTGACACTTGACATTTCCATTCATTTTAACAGATTTATTTAACACATTATTGGAACAATTTAAAGAGTTTTGGATTTTGAATGGAACAACTTAGCAGGATGAAATGAAACTTCACTAAAAGGTTGCGTTAAGTGTATTTTACTAAAATGAGGCACATACCTCTTCATCATATAATTGCTTTGGCATGTCATTATGTGCCATTACTGCCAAAGAAGCATGAATGGACTCCAGGGAACAAAATACTACGGAGAATACATCTGAATCTTGCTGAAACATTTGAACAAAAATAAAAAAGGCTGATGAAACACAATAAGCTCCTGACATAAATCCATAAAATCAGGGAAAAAACGAAAAACATCAGATATTTAAAAATTAATAGACTCAATAGGAATGCATATCTATTATATAGTAACAGTAAACATATTTTAATTTTTTATTCTTTCAAAAGTTCATTTCCTTTGCATTACACTTAAATCAATAAGAATCCTACAGCAAAGTAGAAAGAAGGAATCCTTCAAAAAGAAGACAAACATGAAAACTAATCAATAACAAAAGAAAGGGGAAATGAACACATTGTATCAATTTTGATTGGTCAACAAGCATCAAGCGCCAACACAAAACCTGAAATAAGATGATGCTAACCCATCTATATCAGAAGGCAAAATATTATTGATTAGGTTTGAACCTAAGATCTATCCCAACCTTTCCTAGCTGTTTCCAAACATGGTGGGAACAGGAGGACAACAAAATGATAGTTGCAAAATAAGGCATAATTAAAACCAAATAATAATAACTCACATGCTCCCATTCATCAACCGACAAACCTTCTGCTCGATGTATCTGATGATCTAGAACTCGTAACAATTTCACAAGAATATCTACGGGAACTAAATGTAGAAGTTTCTTTGCATGTATAGACATAATTTCATTTACAAGAGCTCTAACATCATTAACTGGCAATGACAACCACTCCATCTCATCCCGATCATCACTAGGGATTTGAGCTCTGCTGCAAAAGTCCTCTAGCATCTCACGAAAGTTCCCAATGATGGCATCTAAAGGAAAAAAATTAGCAGCTAAACATGTGTTAATATGAATGAGAGGAGGGAGATGATGGGTTGAAAAAACCAAGACAACCTTGAAGTTCTGTAGGGTCTGGTCGAACTGATGACCCAATGTCCTCAGCAGCCTTTTTCTTGACTTTTGGCTTCCTAGAAGACAATCTAGGTGCATCCTGCAATTACATTTATAAAAATTAAGTATGTTTAAACAGCCCAATCATTAATAACTAAATTGAAATCCATGCATACATTAGCATGAGTCTGCTGATTTTGAGTGCTGCTAATTTCTCTCTGGAGTTGACTAATAAGAGGAAAGCTCAACTCAGATGGCTTCCTTTCAAACACTGCACCACCAGAGATTTGCTCCTTGACAAGACCTGAGAGACTTGAAGAAATGCAATGAACAATAAGCGCAGACATATTCAATTTATGTAAATGATATCACAGCAGTCAAGAAAGAGGGCAAGAATACAATGCACAAGATTGAATTCAAACAAATATAAACAGAGGGTGAGAAAACAGGAAGGACTTTAATTATATCAAGCACTCCTAAACATTCTTTAAAACAATCTGTTAAAACCACGGCAGCAGAATGAAGAACACAGTGATAAAATTAACCAAGAGAAAGAACATAGGAAAAGGAATGGACTTCGAACTTAGACAAGTATACACTTTTGCTGATCCAAGACTTTGTTACACTGGCAAATCAGCATTAATACAGGAGGTGTAAGCTTAAGTGCATTCATGCATGTACAAACTACAGACATATACATGCACAATAAACTCTCCCCACCTACGCATTCCATCCATAATTTCTCTGTGTTAACTTCCTCCTCAATCTCTCCTTTGTAGTAAATTTTCATGTGACAAAATCATAGGTAATAGGCACTATTTCTTCTCTTGTATGGAACAAAACCCTATAACCAAAAGAATCAATACCACTTTTGATATCTATGCCAACTAATTCATCCACAATGCAGACCATCAAGGCTAGAGGACTATGTAATTGCAGTTGAGTTATTCATGTTCGGGCGCAGAATTGAACAATATTGAATTCTAAAGTATCACAAATCAGTGATTCCTCATACAATAAAGGTAAATGGAATTCATTACAACAATTCCCGTGTAGATAATGAAGCTAAATTTTACAAAGACTTCAATCGGCTAATGAAAATAATTCAGTCATCTCTACACATTCCAATTTTGTCAAAATTTTCCTCATCTACATACACCAGAAAGAAATATTACACCTTGGTTCAATTTTATAGTACAATTTCACTTCTCAGGGGCATCAGAGAAAAAAAAAAAGATAAAGAGGAAAAAGAGCACCAAGAGTATTTTGTTTACCAGGGGTGACATACTCAAATGCCGCAGGATTGTATTGGAGAACATGTGCATGAAGTTCCAAGGGCTCCACATGGTCATATGTAATTGAACTAGCAACTGAACTAGCCTCATCTCTAAGATTCCTGCAAACAAAACCAGATATAAACAAGAACTATAATCAACTACACCATAATGAAACTAAACCAGGCTTTTAAAATACAATCTCGAAGAAAGTGCCAAAACTAAGAAAGGAGCAGACAATAACCTTTTTTCATTTGTCAGTCAGCGCATTTTAACTCAATGCATTAACGCTTATAAACATGCACAGAAATTTGGAAAGTAAGAATCTTTCCATATTCTTATTTAGAAAGTAACACCTAAATTATGCTTAACCATAAATATAATCTAATTCAAATTACTTATATCTAAGACTGGCTACTCAAATCCCTAATTAATCACTTAAATATTCCATTATTTGTTACTTATATATATTGTGCTTCTAAAAAAAGGAAGCAACATTTTTGAAAAATCAAAAATACATTTATTTAAGATCAAAATGCATAGAATTATATTTGCATTCTATTTCACACGTTCATTTTCAATCAATTATAATTTTACTTTATAACAACTTTCTAAAGAGCGACAGAAAATACCGAAACGGCAAGTACTAAAAGTAGCGACTAAATGGAGCTTTGACTAATAAACTCAAATAATTCAAAAAAAAAAAAAAAAAGAGTAAAGTTAAAGCTTATATATGTGAATGATAATAAGGAACACTTAAAACTCTAACTCTTTTCAATCAAATTTCACTACCTTCAGAAAACAGCTGAAATTTGAACTAAAATTTCAAATTTAATGGAATTTTAAACGCTTACAGATACGAAATGTCGGTTTCGCAAAGCAGATCAGAAATTCGACTAGACTGTGCAATAATTTCCGGTCGATTCATAGACCTCAAAGTTCCACCAGCCAGGTCGTCAAACAGTCGGAGCTCCGAATCCGAAGCGCCACAGAAAACAGGTAACGAAGGAAGGGGCAAGCACTGAGCGACCTCGGAGTGAATGGTGTTGGATAGGCCGATGCCAAGGTGGGCCATGCCTATCATTCCTGGGCCCTGTAGTTCCGAAGCCCCGGACATGCTGCTTAGATTGCTCATCGATTGGTTAATCGGCGAGTGAGGGATTTGCAGCAGAGAGAGAGCATGAAGAGATTAGAAAGCAGTGGTATTTTCGAAATAAAGTAAAAATCAGAGGGTAATTTTAAAGGAATTAGGGTTTCTTTGGAGAACTTGAAAGAGGGTTTGAGCCCTAAAAAAAATATTTGGAATAAAGAAAGAAGCAAATGGCGGGCAAAATGGGTGAAATTTTGGGGGGATTTTTTTTCGATGAATTTTATTTATACGAAGATTAAAACGGAATCGATGAAACTAATCAAATTACTAAAATACCTTGGTTGACTCCATTTTACTGCTTTCCAGCTTGTCAGAGAATCTTTATTTTCGATATTTAAAATCGTCATCCGCCAAAAAATTTTTCTTATCTTATGAAGGAAATTTATAGGGTGATTTAATATTTATTTAAAATTTTGTGTAAAATAATTTACAAAAATACCCTCAGCGTCAACGGCAAGTGTCAACTTCAGCTGCTCAGTTTATCTTCATTTTCAAAGTCATTTTTATTTTGTAACGAAGTAAGGAATTTTTATTTTTGAAAAATAATAAAATAGTATTAACCAAAAAATTAAAGAAGAAATTTCAAAGTATAATAATTCTACCACCTTATATGTCTTGTATATAAAAATAAGAATATTCTTTTTTTTTTATTTTCTTTACATGCATCTATTTTATCTTTTTATTTATCGACTAAAAATTACTCGAGCATGGAAGCGTGTATTAAAATACTAATTTCAACACATTTTAATCGTTTTTATCTTATAGGTCTTTTTATTAAATGTTATTAAAATATTATGATAAAATTGAATATTAATAATATTAATAAATAGAAATTAAATGGATATATTTTTGAAATTGGACCTAAATGATCTTTTTAATAAATAAAACTATGAGAATAATAGTAATAGTATAAAAGTTGTTATTTAGTTTTTTGTTAAAATTCAAGGCAAATATGTTATTTTAATCTTGAGATTGAAGCATAAATATTAGGAATTAACTTCTTCTATGCATAACATTCATATAACCAATGGATAAATTTTGAATTCAAAACTAAATTACACTAAAACAAATTATTTAACCAATTGAATCATGATAAAAGCATCAAAAAAGTTTTTGAATAAAATTTAAATATTTATTTAAATTTTTCATATTTTATTACGATTAATCAAGCTTTTAATTTTCAATTTTGACTAAATTAATTTTTATTTGGATAAAATCTAATTACATGACAAAATTAAATCAATCAATCTCTAAATTATAGTCATTGAATTCTTAGAAGATTTTAAAGAGAGCAAAGAAGAGAAAATAAATAAATAGATAATAAAAGTTTTATTTTATTTAAGTTTCATATATATTAATTATGTTATATGATAAATTTTTATTTATTTTATTGATATCATATAAAATTTTATCTTAATTGATAAAAAAACAATGTTAAGTTTTTTATTCAAATAAAAATTTAATTAAATGCAAATAAATATTAAAGGAATTGATTGATTATAATAAAAAATAAAAACTTGATTTTTTTTTCCAATTATAGTTCAACAACTTACATTGTAATGTATAAACTTGCTTTTTTTTATCAACAAGTTGTTGGTTCAATTGATTAAGATTCGTCTTTATCGACGAAAAAGTCTTGAGTTTGAGTCTTACCGATAATCATTTATTGGAGTTATCTTGAATACACGACTTGCAGTTATCTATCTTAGATTATCAAGTATGACACATATTATCATAACTTGAGAGACTGAACAATCTATTTATTTTTAAATTTCTTTAAAAGAAAAAAACTTGTTTTTCTTTATAGGACACTTTCAAAGCTAATATTCAAAATTGTCGTTTAATGAAGTCAATGGCATAAAGTTTAATAAACTTGTCTTATTGATATAGACATGATTTTCCTTCTTAATTGATAAAAAAAACAATGTTAATTTTTTTATTCAAATAAAAAATTAATTAAATGTAAATAAATATTAAAGGAATTGATTGATTATAATAAAAAATAAAAACTTGATTTTTTTTTTCCAATTATAGTTCAACAACTTAAATTGTAATGTATAAACTTACTTTTTTTTATCAACAAGTTGTTGATTCAATTGATTAAGATTCGTCTTTATCAACGAAAAGTCTTGAGTTTGAGTCTTACTGATGATCACTTATCGGAGTTATCTTAAATACATGACCTGCAGTTATCTATCTTAGATTATCAAGTATGACATATATTATCATAACTTGAAAGACTGAACAATCTATTTATTTTCGAATTTCTTAAAATAAAAAATTGCTTTTCTTTGTAGGACACTTTCAAAGCTAATATTCAAAATTGTCGTTTAATGAAGTCAATGGCATAAAGTTTAATAAGCTTGTCTTATTGATATAGACATGATTTTCCTTCTTAATTGATAAAAAAACAATGTTAAGTTTTTTATTAAAATAAAATTTTAATTAAATGTAAATAAATATTAAAGAAATTTATTGATTATAATAAAAAATAAAAACTTTATTTTTTTTCCAATTATAGGTCAACAACTTACATTGTAATGTATAAACTTACTTTTCTTTATTAATAAGTTGTTGGTTCAATTGATTAAGATTTATTTTTATTGACGAAAAGGTCTTGAGTTTAAGTTTTACCGATTATTATTTATTGGACTCATATTGAATATATAACCTACAGTTATCTGTCTTAAATTATTAAATATGATACATATTATCATAATTGAAAGACTAAATAATCTATTTATTTTCGAATTTTAAAAAAAAAAAAACTTGCTTTTCTTTATAGGACATTTTCAAAGCTAATATTCAAAATTGTCGTTTAATGAAGTCAATGGCATAAAGTTTAATAAGCTTGTCTTATTGATATAGACATGATTTTCCTTCTTGTACTTTTCTTTACCCTCTAAACCTTATTCGTTCTCATTAAAAAAGGATTTTGAATTTTAGAACTACGAAGAAATAAAAACAGGCACAACATGGAGCACATTGCATACAAATTGTATGACCAACAAACTTAGCATCTGTCATCCTCACCATTTGTGTGAATAAAATAGCAATAAAGTGGAAAGAAAGAACAGAGTTAGAGAAAAAGATGGATGAAATTTTTTTTTTGCTTTTATTAATAACAAGTAATTATAATTTATTAATTAGATATTAAAATTGTAATCGTAATATTTAAAAAAATAGATACACATACATATAAAAGTATCATAAAATATAAGATTATTATTCTATTTTTCATTCTCATCATCTATAATTCACTTATGTAATATATTGTCCTGTACATTTATTTTATATCTTTTATTCTATAGTAATTTATTTTATTAATTGAATTTGTACTTAATTTGAAATCTTAATTTATTTTTGTTATTTTATTTTTCCTAATCACTAGTTAAATATAATTTATTTATCAATAATTTAAATATTTAATAATTAATTTAAATATAATTTTATTTAATAAATTACTAACAAAATATAAAAAGTAAGTATTATTTCATTGCAATATAAAAAATAATATAAATATATTTAAAGGCTAGGAGCTCACTTATAACAATTTTAGGTTAACATAGCAAGACCAGACCTATGTGACATGCTATATTAACTCATGTGTCACATGCTAACATTGGCTTTTAATAGATTGTATTGTATCGATCCATAAATTTAAAATTTTTTAACTCAACATGATATACACACATACATATATATATATATACATATATATATATGTGTGTGTGTGTGATTTAACCTAATCCAATTACTTAACTGTGGGGCATAACAAGTATGATTCGAAGTATGTCAAATTATATTATGTCATGGACCACCAAATTCATTTGATACATCTAGTCAATTATTACGTTACAAATATCAATATGTTTCATTTCTTTTGAAATTAACACAATTACATATATTTCTGACATGGTATATAATTATTGGATAAATTCAAAAATGAGATTTATTTATTCATAGGTAAATCAATTGATTCGTAAATTCAAAAATTATAGTTAAACCAATAGTTTATTGCTACATAGACAAAATTCTCTCGATAAAAGTGGTGAGATAAGGAGTGCATTTCATTTTTTTTTTAACTGCAATCCTACAATTGTTCAATTACAAAATAAATAAATATATATAATTATATAAAAAACCATCACTTATAAATATAAACTTTATAAATAAATTTTGATGAACACACACAATATTTTATATTAAATAGATTCTAACAGTATTGCCATGAATAATTTTGATTTTACCTAAATTATAAACATATTGTTTTCTTTTGAAATAAGGGATAAGGTACAAATTTACAATTCTATTTATGTCAGTGATCTAAATTTAACATTAATCTTTCAATTGGTGTAATTTTACTACTATACTTTATTTTTAAAACAAATTTATCATTATACTTCAAATTTTGGAATAATTAATGAATATTCAATATAAAATTATATTAGGAACTGTTTTATAATTAAAAAAATCTGAAAAAGGGACAGGAAAAAAGATAAAGACGAATTATTGAAAACGTATGGTATGATATTATATGAAATAAAAAATGTCATGATAAAATAAAAAATAAAAAAATAGATTATGTGGCATTATATTTAATAGCAAATACCAAGATAAAAGAAGAAAATAAATAAATGAAAAAAAAATCGAATGTTAGTTTCATTATTGTTTTTCCCTATTTTTTGAACTGTAAAACAGTTTCTAGCTGAATGTTTTACTAAATATTTTTTAATTACTTCAAAATTTTAAGTATGAATGTGAATTTTCTCCGAAATTAGAAATATAATGGTAAAATTGTATGATTTGAAAGATTGATGTTAAATGTGAACCACTTACATATATATAATGATAAATTTGCATTTTATCCCTTAAAATAAAATACATTTAATTTTTAAATAATATTATAAATAAAAAAATTATATTTGACTTTTATAATTGATTTGTTTATCATATGTAAAACGAGTTTAAAATTAGTTTTTGAATTTCTTTAAAAAACAAAAACTAGTTATGTGTGGGAGAAGTTTTATTTAGGTAAAAAAATTTGTAGAAGGACTCACTTTAAGACAAAGAATATCACCTTCAATAATCTTATGTGCCACAAAATAATTACTCATGCCAAATTATTTAGTATCAATTAAGCTTGATAAATTGCAATTTGCAAGGGGCATCATTCCATTTTCCTTAAATGTTCCTTTCTGTGCATTTTTAGTATTTAATAATGTAATTTATTACATACAATCATCATTTTAGTGTGAGGAAAAATTTAAATTTATCATTTCATTTTATGATAATGAAAAGTATAAAAAAGATTATGTGAAACAATTACGTCATATCAGTATATGTTTATT